ATAGATGCATAGCAAACAGATGGAGACAGAGCGAGGCTCTCAAATGGCCTCCACCTCCCCTTCGGGTGCTCCTGGTTTGACTCTCCTCTACCCTCACCTGCCCCTTTGAGATCTTCCTGCAACAGCCACAGACCCCACCTGGAGTCCATCAGACCCTTTGAAAACTGGAGTCTTCACCACCTACCCACCTTAATCTGGAACAGAGACCTCAGGATGAGACCTCCACAGAGGCCTGAGATGAGACAGGCAGGCTGCATTTAGAGGTTAAAACCCAGGACACATTGTTTTCTTGGATGTGGGGTGCATGTCTGCTGCAACACCCAAATTACATTCCTCCGGCATTTGAGTCTCCAGGTCCGTGAGAGTCACAGAGCAAACTCGCTGCAGGTCTTCGAGCAGAGTCTATCTTAGCCTTATTTTCTCTGTCTGTGGTCACATAGGAGGCATATGGCTCCCAAGACTACTGATGGGAGAGAAGGGGAGAGGGATGCCCAACGCAGCCACTAGGGATTGTGTATGGGGGGGTCTGGTCGTCGATGGGATCCAAGCACTGTCAGGGAACCAAAGTCAGAGTTGATGACCAGAGAGACACAGGTCCCTACAAGAGAGGTGGGCAGTGAGAAGTCTCAGTGTCCTCCAGGCTCCAACGCTCCCTCATGCCCCCCATCTCCCACTCCCTACCATGGCCCTGGCCAAAACCAGTCAACACTTACTTCATTAAAAGGTCAAAGATAAACTCTTCCCCTGCAGGGACCAGTTCCTGCCCCTTTCTCTTCCCCTGCTCCCTGTCCACTCTAGCCACAGGGTATACTGCCTGCTCCTCCAGCCCATCAGCCTTTATCTCAGAAACCAGAACTTCTCCTACAAAAAGACCTCCCTGATTCTACACTAATACAGAAGCTGCCCAAGGGCCTGGGGGCATGGCCAGGAGTAGAACCCACCTAGAATGTCCCAGCCTGGGGGCTGGACATGAGGTCAGGGGTCTAGCTTGCTCAGTTGAACAGTCTTCCGAAGGGTAGTTGCATGGTCTCTCAGGGCTGTTACACCCAGTGTCATGGACACCTACCCTTCCTTGTAGCTGTACTTTCCAGTTAGCCCTTTGTTGTTTGAGACACAGCCTGGCATAGCCAAGGCTAGCTTGGGACAGCTTTGACATCTGAAAAGTGACAGGCATTTGAGAAATGTTACCTGTTCTGCCGAGGGGAAGTTAAGGCCCAGTAAAGGAAGAATTCTTCATAACTAAACCCACTAGGTCAAAAGAGGCTTTTCTTTGGGGCAAATCGGGGAGAGAAGACAGCCCTGGGATCTACACTCCATCACTGGGACAGGAGTTCGCTGCTCATTCATCAATGAACAACAACAAAAATATGCTTATGACAATCTTGAGGGAACAGCGTGGCAGGAACAGGGCATGCATGCATGTGCAGAGGCAGAGCTCTGGACAGCCCACATGACAGTCCTGCAGCAGGGCAAAGCCTGGTGCAAGGAGGAGGGTCAGAGGAGAGGCGGGAGGGATGCGGACCAGCAGGAGCTGGTGGGCTGCAGGGAGACTGCAGGGGTGTGCAGAACAGACCCAGCCCTGCCTGGTCTGTGTAGGATGCTTTGCATCTCAGGGGGAGGGCGTACCATCTCCTTACTCATGTTCTTTACCTGCTGGAAGGCCTCCATCACAGGGGCCATCATGGGGACCAAGGCAAAGCATTAGCTAATGTGTATTGCCCCAGATTCCAAGCAGTGTGGGGCAGTAAGATGACCCCTTTATCAGGTCATGATGCTGTTTACACGCCTCAGTGAGCTGGGAAGATGGGGCCAACAGAGGCCTAGGTGCCACCCCAGAAGTGTCACCTGTGACGGCAGCTGGTGGGAGTGAGGGCTGCAGTGCATTTGGTTCCCTTTCTTTGTACCTTCTGAGATCTGGGAGTGAGCTTGTGACCCAGGCCTCTGCGTGCAGCCTTCCAGGGTCACCAGGCCCCCTGAGCTCCTCCAAGGGAGCCACTAACATTCTAGGACCTCCGAGGACATAGCGATAGTGCATCTGGTCAGATGCAGCCAGGCTGGGAAAGGAAGAGAAGATGCAGGCATGTCCTGGGGAGAGTGGCGTGGTGAGTCCTCTGGTCCTGAGTTTGAATTAATTCCAGCCTGCTGTGACAAACCCGTCCTTCTGGGCTCACTTGGGACAGTCAAACCTTATTTGACTGGTTAATGAACATTTAGTGAGTGCCTACTGTATGCCAAACCCTGCTTAGACCAACAGGGACACAGGAGAGGGGAAAGGTCAGCTGTACCCTCACAATCTGATTTCAGAGGCTGAGACAGGGGGATGATGACTTTGAAGCCATACTGGAATACACAGAATGAAACGGGGTATACTGGGTGAGGTGGCACATATCTCCCATCTCAGCACTAGAGACTTGAAGCAGGAGTTCAAGGCCATCCTCAGCTACATAGCAAGATAAGGCCAGCCTGGGCTACAAAGACCCTGTCAAAAAAGGAAGGAAAGAGACATACACAGAGCTGACAATTTTGCCTACATCCTTTAAGTTTTGCTTTATTTTATTTTTTGAGATAGAATTTCACAGAGCCCAGGCTAGCCTCCGAGTCACTGTGTATTGGAGACTTTGAACTCTTGATCCTCCTGCCTGTACTTCCCCAGAGCCTGGTGACTCTGGTGTTTGTTGGCTAGGGATAGGCCACAGTGTCTGACAGTGGGGGAGGGGGACTCCACCCACTGAGCCCACCCTAACCCTGTTCCTAAAGTCACAGGAGTCTTGGCCCTTGATCTTGCCCAGTTGAAGGTGGTGGGGAGTCAGTACCCTCAGGGACAGCAACCTGGACAGCATTCCCAGGCATGCACACCCACTGTGGCTCACAGCTGTCACTTTATTCTCCCACATGCAGCCTGGGGACTGGCAACTGATGGTAGCTTCTGCTGGCTGGTGGTGCAGCCAGCTAGGCAGAAAGCCTCAGCTCCAGACCCCACACCCAGCCTCTGACCCTAAGGAGGGAACAGAACTCCCATACACAGTCCTGGGAATTCCCCGGCCAGGTCCACATTGGGGAGAGGGGCAGCAGTGTTCCCCTCTCTGTGCTTCCCTCCCTTGAAATCTTGCTCCCAGTGCCTGGGGATAGATTTATCCAGGTGTGTGGGTGTCACTCACAGAGCCACACAGGCTGACAGAGAGAAGGAGCGCTGAGAACCAGGGCCTGCACTCTAATGCGGCACTCTAGCGGCTCTGTAGATGGAGCCCCTGCCTCACATGGGTCCCAACTTTGTCCACACTCTGTGATCCCATCATTCAGGCCCTATGAGAGGCCCAGGGCAAGGGGTTGCTTGATCGGGGTCATATATCCGGGAAGGTGCAATGCAGACTGTCAGGGTTCTGGCGAGCTGATGGTGGTGAGTCTGAAGTGACGTGGACCTGTGACCCCTTCCTCCTAGTGCAGGCTCCACCCAGCCTGGTGCGGCGAGCCAGGAGGACTTACTCTCCGGGATGCTTGCAGAGTGCGCCCCCTGCCGGGCACGTCTGGAATCTGTGCAACCCTGACCAGATCCCAGGAGAGACTTCCACTTCCCAAGACACTGAGATTTCTCGGGGTGCAACTCTCAGCTCTGGTGAAGCTCCCCTTCTGAGCTGTCTTAGGGCTTCCATTGCTGTGAAGAAACACCATGACCAAGGCAACTTTTATAAAGGACAACATTTACTTGGGGCTGGTTCATTTAATTGGTTCATTTAGTTGGTTGCGAGGTTCACTCCATTATAATCAAGGCGGGAAGCCCTGAACCGCTCCTGTAACCCACACAGCTGCATATGAACCCCACTTTTTCACACCTATGATGTCTGTGGGTTCCGCAGACTCTGAACCAAGGTTGCTCAGCAAGCAGATGCCCCAAACTTGCTTCTGTGACACCTGCCCCCACCTCAGAAAACACACTAGCTACCCTGGCTCATACTTTGAAATCCGGGATATGAAAATCTAGAGCTGTGGTCTCTGTTTTTGATCCTGAGCCATGTCTAGGGTCGTGTATGGCTGTCACAAGGGTGAGCTCCCAGTACAGAGTGGATAGAGGCCGTGTATGAAGCTCAGCACCCCGCAGAGCCGCAATGGCTACTGAACACAAGTTCCTGGCCCGGAGCACAGACAGTCTGAAATCAGGAAAGCCACTTGGGTCTGTGCTGCTCCAGGCAAGTCACTTACCCTCTCTGGGTCTCAGTTTGTATCACTCATAAGATATAAAGCCTAGATTTAGTTTTGTGTGTTAAGGTTCATGCCAGGAAGGTCAGGATGCAGTCAGAAAACATCTGCGGGGCTTCCTGAAGAGGGCGATGGCAGCTGAGGCTTCCCCAGTGTCTGCTGTGACAGGGCCATCCAGGCGCAGGAAGTGCAGACCCGTGGTGGAGAGTTTGGGTGAAGTTTGGAGTGAGGTGGGGGTGTCGGAGATGGGTTAGGGGTGTTGGGGGCGTGGGAATCACTCCCAGACTGAGTTTCCAGGTCTCACAGCCTCGTTCTGGGAGGCAGCTGGCCGTGCCCCACCTCTGTCAGCGAGACCATCACAGTGTCCCCCTCTCCCCAGAGACACCCACCGAAGGAGGGTCTCTGCAGTACTCAGAAACACCAAAGATTTTCCCAAGGTAAATTTTGGGGTGCAAATGTCACGGGGGGGTCCCAGGTGGGACTCAAACTACCTAGTGGGTAAACTGAGGCCGGCCCAGAGGGGTGCATGTGTCTCGTGGAGGCGTGTCTCTTTCCTTTGGTCTCTCGGATCTCTGTCGCGCAGTGCGCTCATACCCCATTTTTCTTTGTCCCAGTCTCCTTCCTCTTCCCTTCAACACTTTCCCGATGCCGCACCTCTCGCCTGAGCACCCAGCGCGGCGCTATTCCCGAGGAATCTCCGACCGCAGACCACGCCCTCTCCCACGCCCCCGCCATGTCGCCCACCTCTGGCAGAGGCTTGCTGTCATTGGCTCCTTCGTACACCGCCTGTGCGCTACTATTTGCTGAGCCAGTGAGCTTCTAGAGGGGGCGCGCCCTTTCTCGGGGGCGTGGTCTCCTGGCCAGCGGCCGGGCTCAGATCCAGCTGCCAGTGCCTCCGGCCCCACAGAGTCACCTACAGAAAACTGAAGGCTTGACGGATCCAGGGGAGCAGGTGAGCGATGGGGTACTGCACTGATTCTATCCCCACACCGCCCTATGTACATCCCGCCTCAGTTTCCCTCTGTATACCAATTACTGACTGTGGGAGCAAGGGCGTTGCGGGCAGGTTGCTGTGGGCTACTGAGACAGTCCTAACACCGGTCCTCAAGAGGAGACCTGATGGACTTGGCCCTGTACAGGTGTGCAGCCTGACTCCAAAATGGTCTGGGTATTCTCTGAGGTAGCCACTGTGGCTCTGACTGATGCAGGAATCCCACCTGAGCAGGGTCACCCTGACGGGAACTGGCACTGCAAGCTTCCCATTGCCCGAGGGCTTGAACTCAGTTTTACCAGCTGGGAACTGGAACAGTGGCTGTCACATAATTGGCAGGTGACCTGATCCAGGTCTGCGGCCTTCTGGCTCTTTCAGTGGTGGCCTGGAGTGCAAACTAGGGTCCAGAACATGGGCTGTGGTTGTCCAGGGAGACAGAGACAGAGCGGGAACCAGAACCTGGTTACTCACCTTTGTGAGCAGCGGTTCTGGAGAGGGACAGGGTGGAACGCTGAGCTGGAAACAGGCCTCTGGGTCACTTCCCGAGCTCCGGGCTGTGAAGGCGCTGGAGGCCTTGGGGTCAGGACACAGCTCAGACAAACCTGACTCACTTGAACAAGTAACGTAATTACAAGCCTCAGTTTCCCTGTCTGACTTGGGACAGTTGCTTCATGACTCCCTGAGGCTTCTGGGAGATTTAAAAGCAAAGACAAAGCAGAGGCTGCACCAGGGTGAACTACACACTGAGATCATGTCTAAAACAAAGAGGATCCTGGGGTGTAGCCCAGTAAGTAGAATGCTCACCTAGTAGCAAGAGGTCCTGGGTTAGCCACAGCTCGACATAAACCAGGGATCATGGGGCATGGCATTCACCCAGTGCTAGAACAAAGGCAGGTGGATGTCTGTGAGTTTGAGGCCAGGTCTACAAAGTAAGTTCCAGGCCAGCCATAACTACATAGCGAGATCCTGTATCAAACAACAGCCAACCAAAAAAGAAAGAAAGAAAGAACAGGAATGTAGGCTTCGTGTGCCAAACTTCCTGTTTTTCTGTCCTGGGACCTTGATGTGGCCGCCTCTTCCCCACGTGGAATGTCCTCGCACTCAGGACCTCTGAGTGCCGAGCCCTCTACAACCCTGGCAGATCAACACAGGCAGCGCCAACTTTAAAACATAACAAGTTCATGATCTGGGCCGCACCTAGGATGTGGGTGACTGGGAGGGGTGAGGGCGGAGCAATAGGGACTGTACAATCTAACAGAACAAAGAGGGTCATCACAGAACACGTGCCCTGGGCTTCCCACGCTTGCTGAGCCAGACCTGGGCCAGGGCTGCGAGTCCCATGGAGGGTGAGTGGTGGATCCTGGGGATATGAAGAGACAGAGAGATTTGTCCCTCAGTTTGCTCTCTGAGCTCTAGGCAAGCTAGGACTCACCCCACAAAATTTTGTTTAATTATTCCTCATGAAGGGACTCTGTATACAGGCCAAATAATCATGGCTACAGGAAGGCGTGCAACCTACTGACTCGGGTGCCATCCGGGGCTTAGTGGAGGCTTAAAGAGAGTGAGGCTTGATCCAGGGGTCCAGTGAGCTCACTCTTCCAAGAACCCCAGTGTCTCCCTCTGCATAGTTTTTCCTGAGCCCCAACCCTGTGTTTCCCCATCTGGAAACCAGCTAAGGTAATTAAGGACCCTCCAGAAGGTGCTGTGCAGGTGGGGGCTTCTGCAGTCCTGACCAAAGGCTGGTTGAAGGAACCATGGAAGGGTTGACAGTACACACAGCCCTGGAAGATTCCCAGACTGAATCAGTAGGCTGCCCAATTTTAGGGTAGACCCCAGGGGAAGGCTGTAATGCAATGAGCTTCCAGGTAGGGACTGGATTCAAGTTCCAGATCTGACCCGGTGTTATTCTGTGCATATCTGTCAGTTCTCTGGCCCCTGACTCAGTTTCTCCTTTTGTCATAACCATGAGAAATTACTTAGTCACTTTACAAACCGTTCCTGAACACTGAGTTAAGTCAAGTGTGGTAGCTAATGGCACCAGCACACAGCAGTGACCAAAGCTGGCCCTGTGCCCACCATCTCCTGCCTCACAGTTGGTAACACTGGACACTGTCCTGAGTTATAATGATAGCTTAAGAAGAGGAAGGAAGGAACTGGAGAACTGGGTGTTCATGGAGAGGAGTGATCTGAGAGTTCCAGGGTAAAACAGCCACAGAGCAACCTGGGGAAGAATATTGTAAGTGGCAGGGTCAGCGTGTGCAAAGGTCCTGGGGCAGGACTGAGCCTGGTGTTCAAGAGGTGAGTGGAAGAGGCACTGTGGCTGCAGCAGAGGGAGATTCACACACTGAGGACCTTCATGTTTCCCTTTTGTTAAAGAAACAGTGTAGGAGCTGAATCAAAGATCCATACTCTCTTTGGCTCTGTAACATTCTCTTTTAAAATATTTATTTATTCTTTTTTGTGAATATAATGCTTAGAGGACAACGGGCTGGGGCCTCTCTCCTACCAGTAGTTCCTGGCCTCGAACTCAGCTTGTGAGACTTGACAGCAAGTGCCTTTATCTGCTGAGCGATATTGCTGGCCCTCTCAAGACTCATTGCTTCAGCACATGTCCACCCTGCCTCCCAGCCCTGCTGCCTCCCGTTTTTCTGGCAGCATCCTTAAGGGGAGCCTGTTTGAGAACTCCCCAGTGTCTTTCTTGATTTCCCAGAAGGCCAGTGCCAATGGGCAATGATGCTCAGCGTGTTGTGTGGAGCCGGTCACGCTGCACTGGAGCAGACACTGGCTGGATCTTGGGTGAGGAGCGGCTGTGGCCCAGCCACCCCTGGGACAGTCAACCAGGATGGAGAGGGAGGATGGCGGTCTTGGTGACATTAATTATGTATGCGGATGCACTGCACTGGGTGACATAAAGAATTCATGAGGCCAGGGGCTGCCCAGGCGCGAGAGGCAGCATCAGCCACATGAGCACCACACCGCTGCTACGGGAACCTTGCCATCTGGTTGTTAAACCCAGATTAAAAGTCGAGGACTGAGTGCTTCCAGTTAAGTAAATCGTGTTGTGTTTATTATTTATTGCATTCATTTACTTTTGTGTGTGAGAGCCAGGGAACGTGTGTGGAGGCCAGAGGGCAATTTGTGGGAATCTTCATTCTCTTCCACAATGTGGGTCCCAGGGATGGAACTCAGGTCATTGGGTTTGGCAGCACATTTACCCAATGCCGTGTCAACAGAATGTAAACCATGTGATAAATAACGGAAGCTGTCAGGTGTGGTGGCACGAACATAAAAGAAACTAGTGGCCACCAGCATAGAGATCACCTAATGATCTGGCTGCTTTTTGCCTTGGTCTGTGCCTGAGTTTATCCTTCCTTTCTTGAGTATGTTGGAAATGGCCTTCCCAGCTTCAGCTTTCTCTTGTCACCTCTGAGGCTGAAGGTGGGTGTGGTGGCCACATGGACCCCACCAGGATCCTCAGACTTTTGCGGAAGTCTGGGCTTCATTACTGTGTGGCTGACTAGCTTATGGAGATGGGCCTGGCAGACTGATGGATCAGAGGAAATGTTTTCAGCTGTGTAAAGACACAAGGACCATCCACCTCCATACACCGCTGGGTCTTCAGAATGAGAATCGTCTGTGTGATATACAAATTGGTGCATGTGGTGTGTGACAGTAAAACTTTATTTACAAAAGCAAGCTGGATGATGAGCAAGCAGGGTGTGTGTGTGTGTGTGTGTGTGTGTATTAGCAAGCCATTGGGAACTGGAGTTGGAGTCTGTACATGAGCAGATAGGAGGGAGTGTGTCTCCTAGCACTTGCAATGACTTCAGAAAATAGTAAAGACTTTTTTTTTTTTTTAGCACAGGATGTCCCTGTAGACCAGGCTGACCTCCTTCTGCCTCTGTCTGCCAAGTGCTTAGATTAAAGGCCATCTGTAATACCTGGTGTGCCTGATACTGAAGATGGAACCCAGGGCTTGGGTACTCTAGGCAAGCCCTACTTGCTGCTCAGCCCCCGAGGGCATTCATTCTAGAAGCCAGAGAGTGACTTTGAGTGAACGTCATAAAGTGTGGTGTATGTCACATATGATTGTTGAATGAAACTTGATGTGACAGGAATCATCTTGTGAGACCCAGCTCCATGGTATCCACTGTTGTCAGAGTCCATCCTGGTCACCATTGATGGCCACATCCCCTCAGTCATCTGTGTGTGTTTGTGGAGAATGAGCTGACGCTCAGGTGTCCTCCTTGGTTGTTCTCTGCCTTGTTCTTTGAGGCAGGGTCTCACTGAACCTAGGGCTCAGTGAAGGGGGTGGCCAGGAATCGAAGACCAGGAATTCCTGTTTCCACCTTTCCAGCACTGGGGTTCTATTCACCTGTTTTCCTGTGAGTGGCAGGGGCGTGAGATGTGCATACTCAGACAGCAAGCTCTAGGCATTCAGCCATTCCTGCAGCTACTTGATAGACCCTTGGTGTTGGTGCTCTGTGGAGACTCAGCTCTCAGCTCTTCGCTAGAAGTCTTGAAGTTATGGTGGCTTTCTGCACTGTGGTCTTGGTGGGCTGAAAAGGAGTCACATATGGGTTACCCCAGTTTGAACCTCCAGGCACTGGAGGCCCTGTATCTTTTCATGCTTCCCATTCCAGAGGTCTTCACACCCCGCTTAGTATTTAGGAATTAGTCATTGCACAGACTTTTTCTGAGCACCAGGTGCAGACCTGGTGGTATGTGTATGTCAGACCCCATCAAGACCAAAAGAAACCCGGCTCCGACCTTGCAACCGCTCCTCTCCCATGTCTTGGACCCATAGGCTGGAGTTGCTCCACCCTGAGCACTGCATACACCGTGAATGGTAATACATGATTGTCATGCCATTACTCAGGAGATGGAGACAAGAGAACCAGGAGTTCAAGTGGGCTTCAGGTCAACCTGGGCTACACAAGATCCTGACTCAAAGTCAAATCCAGACCTGGAGAGATGTCTCAGTGGTTAAGAACATTGACTCCTCTTCCAGAGGTTCTGGAACCTACAACCACATGGTGGCTCACAACCATCTGTAATGGGATCTGATATTCTCCTCTGGTGTGTCTGAAGACAGCAACAGTGCACTGATATACATTAAATAAATAAATCTTAAAAAAAATCCAGAAGACAACCAAAAACAAAAACAAACAAACAAACAAAAAACTGGGAGAAAAGAAAAAGCAGAAACTGGGTTAGGGAGGTGCCTCTGAACCTGGACCTTTATGCTTGGAAAAGCCTTCTGGAAGCTTCTGTGGCTGTGCAAAGGCCCTGTGGCTCAGCTGTGTTGTGGGGGCCATGATGGATTGCTGAGTGCAGAGTGCACCTGTGAGGGGAGGCTGAATCCTGGGGGACAGCGCTGTGTACCAGGCTGCACCTGGCCATGTCAAAGTGGAGGTCAGGGGTAATCCAACCTTGTGTAAATGAATGTGCTGTGTCCAGCAAGAACCCAGAGGCTGTTTGTAGGGTGCTGGGAGCTACAGTGATTGACAGGGTTCAGAGTACAAGAAAACTCAAATGGTGTTTGAAGGCACGTGGGTGAGCTGGGCACTGTGGCACTCGCTTTTGATCTGAGCACTCAGGAAGCAGACACAGGCATGTTTGTGTGAGTTTGAGGCAAACCTGATCTACAGAGCAAGACTTTGTCTTAAACAAAACAAAAACTTAAAAACCATACCAAATCTAAGCTGTGGTCCAGGATCCAGGAGAGGACTCGGGCTCTCATTCTGGAGATGAGTGTTGTTCCCACAAGGAGAGATCTGGGCTCGGTCCTCAGAGCCAGCTCTGGCCTGCGTGGGGCTGAAGCTTCCAGGCTGATCTAATAGCGAACATGGTTCTGCCCCAGGGCTTCTGCACATGCACGTGCCACTGCTGTCTCTTCCCTTGAGACTTGTTCCCCCTGTCCTGACAAGTGGCCTTTTCCCATGCCCAAGGCCCAAATCTTACTTTTTTCTTCCTGCTTATTGGTTTCTTGTATTTCCTCCCTCCACTTAACTGGCCTCTTCAGGGTAATCCTAGAGTCCCTGACAGACACAGTTTATGCACACTTATCGTCTCACAGTGGGGAGGCTGAGGCAGGAGGATTAAGAGTTCAAGGCCAGACTGGATGATATGAGACCCTGTCTGAAAAAAAAAAGTAAAAATACATGTAAAGAATGAATTATTGGATGGAGGGGGTGATGTGGCCTGTGAAATCAACACCAGGGTCAAGATGGTCCCCAAATCATGTTATAGTTAGAACATGGCAGAAATAGGAACTCTGGGAAGTCAGAGACAGAGTCTCTTTTGGTCACTTCTGTGTTTGGTACACAATTGGTGCTCCATAAATGCCCATTAGGCCAGTTGAGCTTCTGAGTGAGTGTTGGGACTGAGTTTTGGAAGCTAGAGTGCAGGCTGTTTTGGCTCCAGACTTTGGTTGGGTGCTGAGACACTGGATGGGCAGGGACCAAGGCCACAGCACCTCTTCTCTGGGAAAGTCCCTGTTCTGAAGGCCTCACATGACTGTCATGCAGGAAGGAAAGCTTAAGTGGGGAGTTTCTGTCAGAACAATGGGGTTCAGAACAGGAAGTAGAGGCCAGCAGCTGGCTGCCTCAGGTGGCGGCTGAGTTGGAGCTGGGAAAGCCTGGACGGGGCTGACTGCAGCTGTGCCACGCCGCCATGCTTCCTGCTTCCGGAAGTCCGTCCACACACTCGGCCTCACTTCTGAGCCATAGAGTCCAGATTTAGCTTTGTCTACAGGAAAAGCAAGGCTCAGAGGTAGTCAGCACTCCTGGGGTCAGCTAGCCCCCAAGTCAAACAGGGACACCAGACTTGGTTCCTCTGCTGGCAGTCAGCTGGAAAACAACCCCAGGGTACTGGAGAGGCCCCTTCAGGTCCAGTCTTATCTCTCTCTTTCTTTTCTTTTTTAAGAGGGTCAGGTAGTCCAGGCTGACCTCCAGCTCCCCATGTGGATGGCCTTGAACTTCTGACCCTCCTGCTTCCATCTCTGAAAGCTGGGGACAGAGCCCAGGCTTTGTGCACCAGGCAAGTGCTCTGCCCACTTCAGACTCAGCACCATTCACAGATATTAGGGAGGAGGCAGGAGGATTCAGGTGTAGGGATGTGGTGGTGGTAGTGGGGGGTGAGGGTAGACTGTCTTTTGTTGCTGCCTGGCCTTGTGGTACAGTGGACTTTGAGGGGATAGATTCTACCATTATGTATTCATTCCCAGTTGGGCCACTTGGGATGGCATTGTTCATTGCAGAATGGCGTTGGCCGAAGAGATGAAATAGGTTCACATGGCAGGCGCCAAGCTGCCACGTAGCCCTGTGTCAACAGCAGTGTCCAGATTCTGGCTAGTAGACAGTGGGGGTGGCGAGCCATGGGGGCAGGAAAACACACAGAGCCTTCTTGTGCCTGCCCTGACCTCTAAGGTCAGAGAGCCAATGGCTCAGAGCCTGGGGTTGGGGAAGGATATTCTCCTGGGGTTTGGGCTCACACAAAAGCAGGCTTTGTAGAGCACTCTGGGAGTGAGCAAGTGGTCTCGGGGTGGGGGTGCATTGCTGGCCCCCATGGCCATCAGCTGACCAGGGCCTGGGGCAAGACAGGCCCAAGGGCCCAGTCTGGAGACCACCCTTTAATGTCCCCCCCACCCTGCTCTTTCAAGTTTGTTTATTCCCAGAGGGGTCTCGAGTCCCCAAGAACACAACAGATGAGAAGGCAGGCCCTGCACTGTCCCTCTGTGGTCTGAGAGAAGTGGTTGCAGGCCTGCAGGCCTGCAACTGTGCAGTCCTGTATGGCTCAAAGGGAGTACCCCACAGGTCAGCTTGAGGATGCTTAAGATGGTTTCCTGGAGGAGGAGGCACCCAGTCTGAGCTGAGGGGTGAATCTCCCTGGGACCCTAGGCACTGGAAGGTATGTGGAAGTTTTTTAGGAAAGATGCAAGGGTTTGGAGATAGGGCTTTGTGGGACGTACAGACGTTTATTAGGGAAGAGGCATGAGAGTTCTCCATGGTTTTTTTTTTGTACTGTCATTTGGGAAAGTTCTAAAAATGCTTGAACTGAGTAGTGTGGCAGAAGATCATGACTGTTCTATAGGAGCCAGCCTGCCTGTCTTCTTGGCCACTTCCTGGCTCCTTCCTCCATGGCAACCATCAAAACCTCAACTCCTAGCTAGGAAACCACGGGCTGGCTGCCTGGGGATAGGAATGGTGCCAAGCCCTGTGCAGATTCATTCCTTTGACCTGAGCACTGTGTCATCCTGACAGGGCCTATGGACACCTTCAGCACGAAGAGCCTGGCCCTGCAGGCCCAGAAGAAAGTCCTCAGCAAGATGGCTTCCAAGGCCATGGTGGCTGTGTTTGTGGACGACACCAGCAGTGAGGTCTTGGATGAACTGTACCAGGCCACTAAGGAGTTCACCCGCAGCCGGAAGGAGGCACAGAGGGTAGTGAAGAACCTGGTGAAGGTGGCCGTGAAGCTGGCTGTGTTGCTGCGGGCAGACCAGTTGGACAGCAACGAGCTGGCCCAGCTGCGGCGGTTCCGGGTCCGGGTCCGTAGCCTGGCCATGACAGCCCTCAGCTTCCATCAGGTAGACTTCACCTTTGACTGGCGTGTGCTGGCTGCCGGGCTGCTGGAGTGCAGGGACCTGTTGCACCACGCTATTGGTCCACACCTCACAGCCAAGTCCCACGGCCGCATCAATCACATCTTCAGTCACTTTGCCAATGGTGACTTCCTGGCCGCACTGTACAGCCCAGCAGAGCCCTACCGGAGCCATCTGTGCCGCATCTGCGATGGCCTTGGAAGGATGTTGGACGAGGGTGGCATCTGACCTGGAGTCCTCCACTGGTGACTGGTCCCCAAAAACACAGAACTGCCTGTGCACGAGGCAGTATCTCCTGTTTCTCCTGCTGCAACTTACCTGCTTTTGTCTAGTTTCTGCTTCATCTCCCTACCTCCTCTTCTTACTTCTGAGACAGGCTTCATGTAGCCCAGGCTGACTCCAAACTCCCTATGTAGCCAGGGCTGACCTTGACCTCCTGAGCCTCCTGCTCCCACCTCTGAGAGTGCTGGACAATAGGTGTGTGACAACACCCCACTGTCTGGGCATTCTCAGTCTTTCAAATAAGGTTGTGGAGAATTGGGAGAAAAAATTGCATTCCCCTGACCCTTACTCCTGCCAAATGACTATGTTTGTTTTTGTTTTGTTTTGTTTTTTGGGTTTTTTTTTTTTTTTGGTTTTTTCGAGACAGGGTTTCTCTGTGTAGCCCTGGCTGTCCTGGAACTCACTCTGTAGACCAGGCTAGCCTCGAACTCTCGAACTCAGAAATCCGCCTGCCTCTGCCTCCCAAGTGCTGGGATTAAAGGCGTGCGCCACCACCGCCAGGCCTATGTTTGTTTGCTAAGTCTCAGGTCCTCTCAAGGTGACTTGCTTTAGAAAATGAAGTTCAAACTCTTATACCATACTAGCACTGAACAGGTACCAGCCTGCTACAACATAGGTATAGGTTATAGGTACAACATAGGTATTATATATAGGTTGGCCCAGGAAGGCTCACTCTGCCAATGCTGCAGGACACTGGGTACTGAGGAATGACACTACTACAAACCAAAGACACCGGCACACAGATGCTGGGCAGGGACCATAGCTTCTCCCAATGGTTTTTGAAAGGGGAGACTCCAAGCACACTCTGTGGGAGGAGCGACTCCAAGCACACTTCTGTGTTGGGATCTGAGATCCTGTTAGGGGACTGGACCCTGGCATTAAAGAAAAGAAATAAACAGCGGCTGAGATGGCTCAGCATGTAGGAGTGCTTGCCATCAAGCCTGATGACTGGAGTTTCTGTGCGGTGGAAGGAGACCACCAGTTGTAGAAAGCTAGCCTCTGACCTCCATGAGGACATGCCCACACAGAACCACACAGAGGCTTCTGGCACTTGGAAACATGGAGGGGTCCTGACCACTCAGCAAAGGGCGCTAATGTGGGTGGAAATTTGGGGTCTTCACTGAGAGATAATACAGGACTACTGTCAAACATGGGGACCCCAGAGGCTGTCCCCAGCTTCAGACCAGGAGTAAAGCCACTGGAGACACAAGTATCTGTTACATTATAATTCCATACTTGGGAAACAAATCCATCTTTTCTCTTTGTATGGTAGTCTGAGTTTGTAACGGACACTGACTGCATGTGGAAGCATGCAGCCCCCACTGTCTGAGTGTGCCCGTGGTCATGCGAGACACCATAACTGGCTTAACTCAATTGGTACTGGGACAGAACTTTTATCCTTGGAAAGCAGGCTTTAGCTACATATGTGCCCAGCAGAGGTGTGGGCTAGATGTTAGACTCTCCCAGCAAGGGTTTGGGGGTGTGGTTAGGGGTGGAGCCCAGCCTAGAACCTCCAGTGAGGGACTGGGGGCAAAGATAACCCAGTGTGGGGCCAGGAGACCAGTGTAGATCCTGGCACGGCAGTTGTGTAAGGCTGCTGGTTAGGAGGGGACACAGCACACAGAGCTGAGTGTATTTAGGGCAGTGTTTACAGCCTGGAGCCCGTGGGGCCAGGTGGGAGTCACCTCCATAGTGTTTCAGTGTTTGCAGACAGATGCAAGCACAGAGACGACTCTATCAACAGCTACAGATTTGTGTGTGGGTTTTTTTGTTGTTTTTTGTGAGACAGGGCCTCTCTGTATAGCCCTGGCTGTCCTGGAACTCACTCTGTAGACCAGGCTAGTCTGGAACTCACATAGATCCGCCTGCCTCTGCCTCCCAAGTGCTGGGATTAAAGGTGTGCACCGCCACTGCCCGGTTTAGATCCCCCTCCCCCTTTGTTTAAAGACAATATTTTGCCCTATAAGCCAGGCTGGCCTGGAATTAATTTTTCTGCCTCAGCATCTCAAGAGCTGGCTGGGCGAGCCCCACAGTGCCCTGGGGCAGTCATGGCTCCAGCAGCTTCCCTGTGACCCTGGCTGATGAGGTGTCAGGTCCCTGAAGTCTTTCTTGCCATTCAAGTGCCATAAGGGATTTTCTCACTTTAAGCCTAAGGCAGAGTCTTGAAACTCGAACACCAACATGCATGCTGCTGTCCCTTGTGCTGACCAAATCGACCAAAGGGATAGTCTGAGTTTTGTGGGGCTGTTCCCACAAGGGTGAGATGAAATTCAGAGTGCACTAGGCACATGCCTTATCATTTTATGTCACTGGGCCTCGTGAATGCTACAGTACCAGCCCTGTTTCCTTTTCAGCTTTCATTACCCAGGGTGGCTTGGACTTGGGTGTTTCAATGCTCAGGGTCACAGTCTGTGCTTCTGGTCTTCGGATAGAAATATATTTAATGTGGTTGCGGGACTGCCGAGATGGAACACTGGGGAGAGGTGCTTGTTGCAAAGCCTGACGACTTGAGTCTATCTAATCCTGGTTGCCACAGAAAGGAAGGAGTCAAGTCCCACAAGGTGTCCTATGACCTGAGACTGTGCTCCATGGCTCTCATACCTCCAGACACTGAGTAATCTGCCCAGCCCAGGGATAGCGGGATGGGGGCAGGCTCCCCACCAGGTTCTACTATATCCCCTTAGCTCAGCATCACAGGCCAGTGGCTGTGGCTTTCAGTAAGAGGATCAGAGGGTCTGGACGGGGCTCTGCGGCATCACTGTCCTCCCATACTGGAGGTGCTTGGTTCATTCCCAACAGCTTTCCCCCCAGAAACATATTAAAGGGCTAACGTACCTTAGCACCCAGTTCTACCTACTCTGTCTTTGGTAGGACTCTGAGGACTCTGAAAGGCACATAGGAACAGCTGCATAGCCTAGCCCTCGCGTCATCCTGTGTCCTTTCTCACCTAGGGATTTTGAGGGCTTGGACTGTACCACCTACACCCATGTTTCAGAGCCCCTGGAACCTCAGGCCCCTAAGGCACCACTGACGGTTGTCCTTCCAACGGTGTGGTCTAAGTAGTGTGAAATATCCTCGGGTCTTAAAGCTCAGTTCCTCTTCTTGTGGTAGAGTCCCATTGTGCAGTCCTGGAACTTGGTATGTAGCCCAGGCTAGCCTCCAACTCAGAGATTCCCCTTGCCTTTACCTAATGGCTGAAGGGAAAGCAAAAGGGCACTTGGCCCTTGCTGTGGGAGAACATGCACACACATGTGCGTGAGGGTGCAGTACCCTGGAGATCTGCATGAGGTACAGGCCTGTCTCACAGCCCCAGTCCCTCACTGGGTGTCCAGCCAGATGTGAGGCCCAAAGGCAATGCTGGAGGGCCCCAAGGTCCCTCTGAAAGACTTGAACACTTTAGGGCTTATGTAGGGTTCTTTGCCTTCAGGTGGTCTGTTTGACTTAAAAGATTTTAAAATTTTATTTATTTGAGTACATTGTCACTATCTTCAGACACACCAGAAAAGCGCATCGGATCCCATTACAGATGGCTGTGAGCCACCACGTGGTTGCTGGGAATTGAACTCAGGACCTCTGGAAGAGCAGTCAGTGCTCTTAACTGCTGAGTCATCTCTCCAGCTCTTTATTTATTTTTTTAAAGATTTCTTACCAGGGCTGTAAAGGTGCCTCAGAAGTTAAGAGCACTGGTTGCTCTTGCAGAGGATCCAGTTTCAGTTACCAGCACCCACAGGTAGTTCACAACCAGTAACACCAGTGTCAGGATGCAATGCCCTCTTCTTTCCATGGGTACAGAAACAGCAGAAATTCACAACCTAACTCAGACCCTGCGCGCGCACACACACACACAGGAAGGAAGGGAGAGAGAGAGAGAGAGAGAGAGAGAGAGAGAGAGAGAGAGAGTATAAGATCAATCTATAAACACATGTTGCTTCCATCTGACTTTAAAAGCCCACCCGAAGCCAGCATCTGTGGGGACAGTGGCCTTGCCCTGTGGTCCTAGTGCTAGAGAACACAGTGCGGATTCAAGGCAACATGGTGTCTCAGGAGAGTGACGAGTCCTTGTGGGTGCAAAGTCCTTGGCTGCCTTGTGACCCACTGTGCTGGCACCTATGTGGCATTATTAGGAGAGGCCACGTGCCTGCACCTGCTGCTACTGTACAAAATGGTGAAAATCCGTGTCTGAGTCTGACCCCACAGAGCCTCTGCTAAGGTGGTTATTTGTTCTATCTTTTCCCATCCTTCTGAGTGGAGCTGCCCTGGGTGGGGTTAGAAAGTGGTCCTGGGATGGAGATAACCATCTGTGGCTCAGAGGGGAGACCACACCGACGTCTTGACTTGAAGAAAGCCAGGAAGTCTGTCCATTCCACCCCCCACATGTCCTGCACCTTCCCTGGGGGAATGGGTGACAGGGCTCAGAGAGTTCTGTGGGATGACACTATGTGACCTGAGCAGGGCGGTGTCAGCTCCTATAGGACCAGTGTCCAGGCAAGTGTGTCTGAAGAAAGGGGTCATGAAGGCCATGACAAGGGGAGGTCACAGCTCCGAGTGTGCCGCCTTGGCTACGATCACCAGCTTAGAGAGCTCAGCTTTGAAGGCCCCAGGCCTGTGAGACACTGCAAGACACAAGCACAGTTAAACTTTGACATGATTTTGAGACCAGATAGTGTTGACAGGGGCCAGGTATGGCAGGGTTCGAGGTAGATCAAGGTAGAGAACTGCAGGGCCAGGCAGTGTGACTCAGGAGATCCCGGCCTGCCTGGGGAACTTAAAAGAGACTGGGAAATTACAAAGAGGGCTAGCAGACATTGTAAAGGGTGGAGCTCCTGCCTAGGATCCCCCTCCCCTGGGCCCCTGTGAGAGAGCTGGGGGTGTAGTAAGCGCAGAGGCTCTGGCTAGAATCCCCCAGGTGAAGCCTTGAGTAGGCTCTTGTGAGGATGGGGACTGTCTTCCCTGGCTCTGCCAGTGCCTCCCTCACCAGGTCCTCACAGAGTCTAGTCAAGGTATTTTGGTACACTTGATCCTCTAGATTTGGGTACTGAATGGTCCTTTTTGCTTTATGCAGCAGCCTGCCTCGGATGCGTTGTCATAGCAACAGAAAGTGGACCAGTACTGGTGACTAGGATGCAGTGAACTAAACTGGTTGGAGTGACCTTGACACAGGGTCTATCAACATGCGGCTTGTATTTAGCCCACAGCCCTTTCTCGAGACTGTTTCTGATCTGCAGGGCACAGTCATGAGGACCATCTTCCACCTCTCTCCAAATGGCTTTTGCTGGCTGCTGGCATGCCTTCCACCCTCTGGGACACACCTTTACCTACCTGCTGTCTTGGTCACTTGAAACTCCTCGCTTTTCAGGGGGACATCACTTTCTCTCTCAAATGCAGCTTTGGACTAAAATAAAACAGAGCACTTCAGCAGACACAAATCGTAAAGAGAGAAGTCCCCTCCAGTCCCCTTGGTTTGGTCTCCTGGGCACTGTGGCCTAAAGCCAGGCATGCTTGCTAGGGTGGGTGTGGTATTCCCAGGATGTAGTCCAGGCAGAGCCTAGGCAGTGGGTCAGATCACAGGTCTGATCACAGATCACAGCCTCAGTCTGTCACTTTGGCTCCCAGGAACACACTTGGTGAGGCTGCTGTAGACTCTGGTGCTCTGAGGGAAGAGCCTATCACTGGCTATCTGAGGGACAGGGGTTGATCACGGCCACCTTGGCTCCTCCAGCCACTCTGCAGGGACCACCCCCATAGTGGGCCTCCCACTGATGTCCTCAACTTGAATAGGAGCCCTGGGGGGTCAACAGGGTGGCTGAATGACATGGGGCTCTGTCCATCCTTTGCAGTGAATGGTATCTGGGGCCCTGTGGGCCCCTTCATCCTCAGGTCCCCATGACTGGCACTCACATAGGCCATGGCATACTCGATCTCAGCACCTTGCAACTCAGCCTTGAACTGTGTGAAGTAGAGGTAGGATTTTCCCTGGGGCCTGTGGAAAGACAGAGTCAGCATAGGGGGAGGGAAGGGGAAGAGCATCCAACTGAGGCTCTGGAAAGAGCCTGGTGATGTGGGACTCCATGGTGGTAAATTTCCAGCATGCCAAAGCCAGAGGTAGGAAGTAGCTTTGTGGGTACCAGGGAGTGGGGAAGTGGGGGATGACAGCTCTGGGTCAGGGCTAGCTTTTGGTGTTTACCTTTTTTTTTTTAAGACTGGCTTTTGAGAAAGGGTCTGAGGTAGCCCCGAATGGCCTCCAACTAACTATGTGGGCAAGATTGGTCTTGAGCTCCTGATGTCCTAACTTCTGCCTCCCCAGAACTGAACAAGAGAATCAGTAGTTGACTGTACTGCACAATGCTTTGGTGGTTCCTGCCGTGTGACCAGATTCCCAGTCCCCCCTCCCCTCCTTCCTCTGCCCGGTGCCTTGGTGCGAACACATACACTGGAGCTTTCTTGGGGTCGCAGGACCGCCGCCTAGCCTGTTCCCCACTTGTCCTGCATTGACTGTGGTGTGCGCATGCGCAGTGGAGAGAGCTAGAGAGCGAGAGCGAGAGACACACACACACACAGACACACAGAGACAGACGCTCACCTCCAGATGGTACAGGTGAAGTGCTGACTGTCTTCACTTGTCCCCAGGCTCATCTGCCATTGCTGGGGAGAGAGGACAGGCTTGGTGAGCAAGAACAGGTGGCTAGCTTCTTTGCAAGGCCCACTAGACATGGCCCCTCCTAGGCTCTGCACCCTACACTAGAGCCACAGACACTGCCCTGCTTTCCTTCCTGTAAGACGTCTTGAGAACAGACAACAGGGAGACCCTGTCTAAATTCAGATGGGAACTGTGGATCAGTGTCTAGCACGGAGCTCTCACTCCATTCCTGACCAGATTCCCCAGCCCCCTGTCTGCTCTCTCCCATCTTCCCCTCCCCTCCTTCCTCTGCCCGGTGCCTTAGTGCCAACACACACACTGGAGCTTCCTTGGGGTCGCAGGACCGCCGCCCAGACTGTTCCCCACTTGTCCTGCATGGATCGTGGTGTGCGCATGCGCAGTGGAGAATGTCTGTGGTTTGCGCATAAGCAATGGGGAATGCCTGTCACCCTAGCGCACAGCTGACTCAGGACAACCAGGATTTAGTCTCAGCTATGCAAACAGTAGAAAGCCAGCCTGGGCTACATGAGACGATCAAAAACCAACAATCCAACAATTAACCAAAACCAAAGTAAGAAAACAGCCAGGGCTGGAGAGACAACTCTGCACCTAAGAGCACAGGCTACTCTTTCAGAGGACCCGAGTTCTATTCCCTGCACCCACACGGTGGCTCACGGCCATCTATAACTAGTTACAGGAGACCTGAGGCCCTTTTTTGGTCTCCACAGGCACCAGGTATGCAGCTGGTGCACATTCACACAGGCAAAAACCATACACATAAAATTAAAACATAAAAGACAAAACCAAAAAAGCCCCAAAACAATCAGCCAGTCCTCACAGAGAGAATCTCCAGCCTTGGGTGCCGGCCCTCACCCAGGGACTCCCATCACTGGCTTTCCCTGCTTCCCAAAGGAGGTTTTCATTGCCAGGACCTACTTGTGTCAATTACAAGAGGACCCTGCAGCAAGTTGTGTGCATTCTCCCCGAAGTGAAGCCCTGATACCTAACTGCAGTCATGCCAAGGGGGCCTGGCTCTGAGTGGTTCCTGCCAACTCAACAGATCTGCTATTCCCAACACTGTACTGATCCAGAGCCTCCCCCACCATTCTGAAAATATCTGAGAAATGCTGCTAAGAGGGTCCACACCTTGCTTTTCTTTAGTGACAGTCTTGTATAGCTCAGGTTGTCCTTGAGCTCTGTGAAGTGGAGAATGACTTTGAACTCCTGATTCTCCATCCATCCTGCTTGCTACTGGCCCTCTGTCCCTCCGGCACAGAGGGCCTAGTAAACCCTGAAACTGTTCACAGGGTGAAGTAGAAGTTTCCACTCCCTGGATCATTCACGTTAAAGCACACCAATCTGTGAAGTCTAGTCTACAGTGCAGCCATCTCTACCATGCATCTAGAACATTCCATCAATCCAAAAGCAAGCCCCATGCTGAGCCTGCCCTCAAGCCTCGCTCTGGCCTCAGTACATCCACTTCCTGTCTCAGGGCTCCTGTCCTGGATGCTTTGGGTGATGGAATCCCACACCGTGACTTCTGTCTCTGTGTCTCATGGCATCTTTGAGGTCCCTCCAGACTGGTGGCGTCAGTGCCACTCTCCTTGTAACAGAAATTGTCACTCTCTCCTTGAGCTCACTGGGAAGCTGGTTCTGGAAGTGGGATCTGTGTTTGTCCCACAGCCCCCTCCATGGTCTTGGGGGAGGGATGGCCCAGCCCTGTAATGGGCGGCAGCAATGACAACAGCAGGCATGAGCCATCCCCAGAGCTGACTACAGACTACTGGAGAGAGGCTCGAGCAGGTGCTGTTCCTGAGGACCTGCTGTCCTGGATGGTTTCCTATCAACTTGACACAAGCTAGAGGCACAGGAGAGGAGGAGTCCTCAGTGGAGAAAACACTCCATCAAATCAATCTTTCCATAACAACAAGCCTCTAAGGCATTCTCTTAATTAGTGATCAATGGAGGAGAGCCCAGCCCACTGTGGGTGGAGCCATCCTTGGGCTGGTAGTCCTTGGTTCTCTAAGAAAGCAGGCTGAGCAAGACATGGGGAGCAAGCCAGTAAGCAGCACCCTAATGGCATCTGTACCAGCTCCTGCCTCCAGGTTCCTGCCCTGCTTGAGTTCCTTCAATGATGACAATGATATGGATGTGTAAGCTGAATACACACTTTCCACACAGTTTGCTTTGGTTATGGTGACTTATCACAGCAATAGTAAGCCTAAGTAGGATACCCATATTCAGTTCCCAGCACCCACTGGGCAGCTCACAACCACTCAGTAACTCCAGCTCCTCTAACCTCAGAAGGCAACACACCCACATGTATACACCTGCACATCCAGCTTAAAAATACACATGCTTAAAAATACTGCCTATAATGGAGAAGACAGGCTGGGGGCTAGGTCCTGGAGGCTCGCCCATGGGCTCTCCAGCTGACTGCCATCTTGCTTCCTCAGATGGTTTCTTCTTATTCATTAGCCAAGAGATACCTCAGCGGTTATAGCACTGGCTGCTCTTGAAGACGACCTGAGTTTGATGCCCAGCACCCACATGGTGATTCACAACTGTAAGTCCAGTTCCAGGAGATCCGCTGGCCCCTTCTGGCCTCTGTGATCACTAGATGCTGGTTTCTGCTCATCAAGTCCCTGACTGGAGATGTTTTGCTGTCTGCAGCCTCTCCATGTTTTTTCCTTGTTTTTTCTGCACATAATAAACTCATTCATTGAACGCCACAAGCAGGGCTGTTAGTTCTCTCTGTGCCATGCACAACACTCTTAGTCACGGGACTGGGATACTCCTGTTCATCGAGGTGCTATGCACACCTGTTCATCTGTGGGAAGAGTCACTTCCATTCACTGCTCCCACGGAAAGCTCTGCTCAGAACACTCCTGTCCAAGGTTCTGGAGACACCAATATTTCCACTGAGTGAACTAACCTGTGTGCAGGACAGCTGCCTGCCTCAGCGTGCAGGCAGCTGATCTCGTAACAATTCTGAATGCCCTGCATGCTGCCAGCTCACAGGCTGCCCTTAGGACTGTCCCAGGCTAGCTGCTCATGTGAGTCTCCTAAGGCACAGATCATCTTGTGATAACAAAGGCCCCATTGCCCTTGGTAGTGACACTGTCATCCAGCACTCAGGACACAGAGGCACGTAGAGCAACAGCAGCTCGAGACCAGCAAGGCCTACATAGTAAGATCCCATCTTAAAACATAAACAGAATGACTAAGACAGCAAGAACTGCAGTGGCTTACTGATGACACATAGATTAATAGTCAGGGACCGGCACTGTGGGTTGCTGGCTCAATTAGGCAGAAGCCAAGGCAACTAGCGGTCCTTCAGGCTCAAGGGACTGAAAATTCAGTGCCTCAAGAGTCTGGCCTTGACACCAGCTGTGTGACACCCTGAGGAACCTACCTCGTTGGTCCCTCCTTGGGAAGCATAGGTGAATGTGCATGTAAACTTGCCCTGTAGAAGGAAAAAAGAAAAGGAGGCTGAAGGGCAAAGATCTCAACACTCAGAATCAAGATCCTAGCATACTGGGCATGGTACTGTATGCGTGTCATCTCTGGTACCCAGAAGGCTGAGGCAGAACTGGGAAACTAGGACATAAGCCATCCTGAGTGACTTATCAAGGTGCTGTCCTGATGTAAAACAAATCAAAGAGGACTGGGGTATACATCAGCAGTAGAGCCCCTGCCTGCCCAGACAGTCAAGAGTTGAGCCTGTCTAGAATCCAGCAGTGAGGGGCTGGGAGGGTGACTCAGGGGTGGGGTCTCACCTAGAGTTTCTCAGTGAGGAGCTAAGGGGCATGGCTCAGGGGTGGAGCCCCTGCCTAAGTAGGGCTCAGAACACTGGCTCAGCCTATGTGAGACCCTAGGTTCCACCCCTCAGTACCTTATAAAACAAAGACTTTGTGACACCCTCCAGTGGTCATCAGATTTCTTTCCTCTCAAGAGCTCAGAACTTTGCTCAACTCCCTGTGGTTTCCTGGGAAGGTCAAATAGCCTTCAGCAGCCACTCCTTTAGAACAGCGCCTGTGAGGTCAGTACTCGGGGCTCCGGATAGGTATAAACTTTTACTACTTCCTGCCTGCAACACAAGCCTGCCAGGAAGCACAGGACTATAACAACGTCCTCAATAATCGGTCACCAGGGACACAGCTGTCGCAGAGGCTAGGCTGACTGCTAGCTTCACAGCCATTGAGAAGAAAGTTGATGGATCCGTGTAAGGCTTGGGGTGCTTCCTCTCTAGCCCGAGTCCAGTGAGCAATCCTAGTGCGACCAGTCCCCTAGATCCGCTGCTCTTATCAACCAGCATTCCCTTTTCTAGAATGAGATGGGCAAGGGGAAGCTGCCTTGCAGGTAGGGAATGACTGACAGGTGACAGATGAGCCAGCCATATCCCTTCTTCAGGTAACCCTGCCCCTGCCATTCTGACCAGTCTCCAGGACTACCTGATCCGCAATCTGGCTCCCCCGATACCGGCAGTCCATAGGATCCTAAAGGGATCCTCCCCTGTAGGAGGCTTAACACGTACCCCGGGTCCTACGTCCTGGGAGAAGGAATGCACGACACCTCCGGGCCTCACGTCAAATGGCACGGTGGTGGGCTCGGACACAGCGGCCGCCAACTTCAGCGCCGCGGCCGCCAGGACCACCGCAGTCCAGAAGCCTCCGCTGGGGGCCGCCATCTTGCTTCCGGGGAAATGCGCAGGCGCTAGCGGACGTGGAACGACCAGCGCGGGACGCGTCGGCGCGGAACTGTGATGCTCTCGCCCCACCCTACCTGGAGACTTGCTTTGACAGCCATGTTGGGGCGGGACTCGTCTTGGCACGTGATATTCTAAAGCGCCTCTGATTGGTGCTCACGGATGCCTCTCAGCGCTCTTGGGTCAGAGTTTGCAGGTAACGTTTGCCTTTTTCCCGGATATTTTTATATCTCACTTAGATGGGCTCCCGGACTCACTTCAGGACAACTTAGGGGTTGTTAGATTATATTGTTAATATGGCTTACTTCACTTTTGTCTATTTGTTTGGTTTTGGTTTTTCCGAGAGCGGGTCCAGGAACTCTCTCCAGGCTGGCCCTGAATTCAGAGATCTGCCTGACTCTGCCGCCGGAGCGCAGAGATTAAAGGCAGCACATTTAATCCACCACCTGTTGATTGTTTTTTGTTTTGTTACTTATTTTACTTTTTTATATTTTAAGTTTTTTTCAAAAATATTTTATTGTGAGGGCTAGGGTGATGGCTCAGCAATTAAGAGCACTGGCTGATCTATAGAGGACCAAGATTTGAAGCCCAGCACCCACATGGTGGTTCACAACTTTAACTCAAGAGATCCGATGCCCGCTTCTGGCCTCTGCAGATACCAGGTGTGCAGGTGGTGCACAGACATGTATGCAGGCAAAACGCCATACACACGTAAAAATAATATAATAATAACAGTACTTTAAAAGTAGACTCTTCTAGTTTTGCAGCTCCTATGGGTCACAGGTGTTGCTTGCTGTTACTGGACCTTTGGCATGCCTGGCCAGCCCTCTGCTGCTGATTAATTTTCCCATCTTTCGGCTGGACAGCAAGATGGAAGAGTAAGTAAAGGGGCCTGCAGCCATGACAGCCCTGGGAACTAGATGGTGGCAGAACTGACTCCTAAAAGCTGTCTTTACTACATGTGAGCTGGCGCAAGCAGCCTTGCACAACAGAAAATAAATGTCACTATAAAAGTTAGACTCCAGGGCCAAGTGATCTGCAATCTAGTCACAAGTACTGGGCCTCTTTCCCTCAGACGGCCCTGATGGCTGCTGATGCCACCCTAGCCTGCCCCATCCCAATCCTCCTGTAGTCCCTGAGCGGTGCACCAAAAAAGCCATCAAAGTAGTGGCAGAGTCCTCCTTCCCACTCCAGCCTATGGGCCACTGCAGTAAAGTGTCCCCCACAAGTGCTGTCAAAAATGGCATCTCAGCCTGCAGCCTTCACAGGATCTGTTCATAGGTACTTCATTTCCTCTCCAGCCTCCCTCACCCCAGTAGCCCCACAGAGATGTCACCTCAGCAAAAGCTGGCTGCATCCAGGACTTCCCACCCTTATCCATGGGCCTGATGCAGGGAAAAGGGAGTGAACAAAAAAAAAAAAAGCCACCAGTCGCTGAGCAGAAAAACCCACCAGTCTCATGAGATTTCTCCCCCCCCAACCCCCCGAAAAAAAAAAAAAAAAAACAATCCCTGAGCCTTCCCCAAGCTCAGCACTTGAAACTCCACCAATCCTCAATCTGGAAATCTCTGCCTGAAAATTCTGCCCTCTCAGAAATCCTATACAAGCACTGCCCCTTGGTCCAGTTCCCAGCTGCCCTCTCCCAGGAGAGGGGGGCAGCTGTTCCTGGATTCATCCCTCCACATCCTGGACTCCCCAATAAATTTCTTTCATGATATTTCTGCCTGGTGTCTCTCTCCCCAGAAGAACCCAAGAAGACAAGCAGTGAAGCAGAGAAGGAGCAGGACCAAGGCTCCCGAGTTCCTCAGCTCAGCTGCGGAGACCTTCCCTTAAGAGCTCCACCACCTCTGCTGAGGCTTCCTTTCAGAGCTATGTGGTTCCTGGCCCCAAATGTCCCAGGATACCCTTCACTGGGGCACTGTCCCGCCTCGGAGTTCTGGTGTCCCTGGACTTCCATCCAAACAGACACTTACACTGCCCATCGGCTTTCTTGGTCACTCCCCATCCGTTTCTTTCACTGTTAGTTGCTCCTTTCCATTTTTCAGTGTGTGGAGGTTAGAGGGCAGCTCGCAGGGCCAGTTTTCTCTAACTTGAATGAGTTTTGGCGATCACACTTGGGTTGTCAGGCTTGGCAGCAAGTACGTTAACTTGCTGAGCCCCATTTCTGTTTCCCACACTCCTTCTGAATGGAAAGGAGTGGACTATTGCACTGATCACAGAGGCCGTTTGTGTGCTTCCCAAGGTTGGGACCCACATGAGATTACTTATGGGGGAGTCTTTCATCTTTAACAATTGTTTTCAATAATATTATTGATTTTTTAAGACAGGGTTTCTCTGTGTAGCCCTGGCTGTCATGAAATCTCATCTGTAGACATGGCTGGTCTCAAACTCACAGAGATATACCTGGTTCTGCCTCCCAAGTGCTGGGCTAGAGCCCACACTGGGCTATCCTATATACCTGAGCACTGTCCCCACCCCCATCCTCCCGTCACCTGCCCTCAGTCCCCACCCTGGCACCCCAAGGGCCCACAGAGCCCCTGCAATCCCTCTGTCTTTCAGCCAACAGCACTTGAGAAGGACCGTCACAGCATCACCACCTTCATTTGGAATTGTTTAATGAGTCTACATACCACATAATTATAAAAGAATAAGAATTGACAAAAATATTTTCTTTCCATAATATGTAGAGGTGGTTTCTGGTTTGTTTTTTTGTTGTTGTTTGTTTTTTCTTTTTCTGTTTCTTTTTTACTTCTGTATGCCGGAACTCTTGTAGGAGGCAGTGGGGAAGGGCTATAACCCTGAGGTCAGGACATGTCCTTCTCCCGACCCTGGCATCCCTAGGTGATACCTGAGGAGGAGCCGGGCAGCAGACAGGCAGGGCAGAAGGTGCCCAGACAGGGGCTTGGCAGCTCCACATAGTCTGGGCGTGGGAAGAGTGTGGGGTCCCCAGCTGCCCAGTGCTGTACCTTCAGTTTCATGACTCGGTACCGCTTACTTCCTGTCTTTTAAATAATTATTTAAAATGCCCACCCCAAACACACATGACTGCAGGGGCGGCGCATGCTTCTGTGTGGGGACGGTGCTGCAAGGTCGGGGTCATGGCAGCCTGGTGGAGGCGTGGGCACAATGGTGGCTTCTTACCAGCCCCCAAGGAGGGTGGCATGAGGGCCACCGTCTCTGTCCTGGCCCCCAGGCAGCAGCAGCAAGCAAACAAATTGGAAGCTTCAAAAATTAAGATTACAAAAACGCAAGAAAAGCAGCGGTGGTGTAAGGACGCAGGTCTGAGGTCACAGGTGCTCCTGTAGGAAGTGCAGCAAAGTCACCTCATAATGCTCTCCAGACTCGCGGCAGCGGATGCTGTGCCTCTCGTTTGGATAGATCTGCAGAAGAGGCAGGGCTGTGATCAGGCCACCTGGGGACCCCACTGCACCCCTGGGACTGGTTGCACTAATGGCTTGCCACATATGGCTGAGGCCTTGGTGACATGGGTTACTGTGTTACCAGGTCTAGGGTGAGTGGATCTCTTCCACAGACCACAGCTGCCAGCCACCTGTGATGTGGGGAAGGCTGAAAACCCAGTACCCTTGCCTGCCATAAATCCATCCCCAGACAGGTCTGAGGATACCAACCCCACCCAAACCTCAGGTCCCTGAGCTGCTCACAGTTAAGGGAAGCAAAGTCATCATCTCTCTCAGGGAAGGGTCCCTGGCCCTCTACTGTCCTGATTGTCTGGTATATCCCCACCTCAGGGATGAAGACCTGCAGTAAGCCCACCACTTGCCAACAAGGCTCCGCCCAGCAGGTCCCCCCCGCAAAAAAAGAAAATGAGGCTCTCACTCTCATGGCTGTGCCCAGGTCTGGGGCTCCTGGGGCCTCAGTCCTCACCAAGTCACTCACTCCTGCACCTTTAAATGTCCCTCCCCTCAGGTAACTCCTCTTGGGTCTCTATTCATTGGGGGGCAGTCCCATGCCTGTAGCCAAGTAGATTCATAAAGCTGGGGTCTCACTGAGGTGTAGTCACTGAGAACCGGTGTTCCCAGCACTGAAGCATCTGGGATGTGGTGACCATTGGCACAGGTTAGTCAGTAAAGATGCGACTGAACAGAGGGCCCTGTGGAGCTCACACAGTAGAGCGTGGGGTTGGGGGACAGAGGATGGGAGCCTGGGACTTTGCCTTGGTCCCCAAACCATGTACCTGGAGCTGGTATGGCTTCCCTGCTCGGATCAGCTGGGACACCAGGAAATTTGTGTGGAAAAAGTGAACGTTCTCATCCAGGAAGCCATGGAGGATAAGCAGGCGGTTAGGCCTAGAAGAGACAGGGGAGGTGGTAAGGCCCTGGGAGACAGGGACAGTGCCCATGGGCTCAGAGTCATTCCCCTGTTCCAGTACAGCAGGCAGGACCAAAGAAGGGGGAAAGGGATGTCTACAGTCGTCCCATGCCCAGGCATTCTGGCATGGTGGAATGTTCTGGAAGCATGTTCCCACCATGACCACCACTGACATTGTTACTGCACTGATCAGTAGCCACCTGCAGCTCCTCAGAATATCAAAAGTGGTAGGAGTAACCAAGAAGTGAATTTTCTCTTTTAATTTTGATTTAGTTATTTATTTTTGAGGCAAGGTCTCATGTAGCTAGGCTGCCTCAGAACTGCCCAAGTAGCTAAGGGTGACACTGAACTCCTGATCTTCGTGCCTCCACCCCCTGTGCTGGGCTAACAGGCCATGCACCACCGTGCCTGCGATCCACAGTGCTGGGGTGGGGCCCAGGGCTTCCAGCATACTAGGCACACACTACCACAGGGCCCAGGCCCAGCATTTTATTTCAACTTTATACACTAGTGCTCAGGCGAGTGACAGCCTTTTGATGCTTTTGTGGCTTCATAATGTTGTATACCCATTACTTACTTCTCTAGTTCTAGAACATTCTATCCCTCCAGAGAAAGAGCCATCCCAGTGTAGTGATGCCTGGGCCCTGGCAGCCCCTCCTGTGCTTCCACACCTCCGCCTGGTGCATAGGATCCTGACTGCAGGAGCCTTGCAGGGGTACAGGCAGTAGTGGGGAATCTCCACACAGTGGGGAGGCCTGTGTCCCGCTGCAGCTACCCAGGTCTGACACTGTCGTCTGAGAGGTGGCCGTCTGTGAGATTTCAAGGTCCAGATAGGTCATCAAGGCTGGACAGGAGTTCATGGGGCTGCTGGGTTGTATGGGAGCTGGGGTGCTACAGCCAGCTGTGGACTTATCCCCAACATCCCGCACTTCTGGGTCTGGGCGGGGCCTGATGACACCCCCAACAGGCACCTGGAAGCCTGAGCTCAGCAGGACAGCTGGCAGGGAGGATGGGAGGGGGTGGCGGGTGGTGAGTGGGTGTGGTGGGTGTGGCGGGTGGTGAGTGGGTGTGGCAGATGGCGAGTGGGTGTGGCTTACTCATTGGGCAGCTTCTCCACATGCAGGGCTACAGACCCTGCCTCGTATCCTTGCTGATTGTTTTCGGGGACATCCATGTATCGTTCCGTGTACCCTGTGTCATAGGCCATCCACACAGTGACAGGAGCACCCGCAATGGCTACCTGCAAGATACAGGGGATGGATCTGGCAGGGAGAGAGGCGTCGGATGTGGAGTCTGGCCTTGGCCAAGATTGTGGGTCTCAGCGGAGGGCTAGGAAGCTCATGCATGGGGGTGGTGGCTGGAAGGGGGCCCTCAGACGCATCCCTATGGGCCTTAAGCTGCAGGGTATGGAGGGAGGGCCCGTCCCACCTTCCTGCCTCCTCCGCCTCCTCATGGCCGCCGCCCCACAGTGCCCTGCCAGTCCCAGGGCCTGCGTCCCCCTGCTGCTCCTCACAGCATGCCCCACCTCTGCCCCTCCGAGGGAGGGGTCCCGGGCTTGGCCTCCCACATAGAGCTGCTGGCGGATGCCATCCTGGGGTCGGTGGTGGCAGGCAATGAGGAGGGGGACTCGGCCTCGTGGGGTGGCTGCGGGGAGAGATAGCCAGGTGGCAAGGCCCCTGCCGAGGTGCTTGCGCTGGGTTGGGGCTCTGGGGTGGGCACAAGGGGCTAAGGGTGGGTGGGTATCAGGCTGCAGGTGGCTACACAGGAGTGAGACCCACCTTGAATACTTGTGGCTTATGGATAAGCCCCATGAGTGAGAGGAAGCCACCGTAGGACCAGCCATGGATGGCAACGCGGCTCAAGTCAATGAAGCCGTACTTCTCAGCCACATACTGCAAGCCTTCCACCTGGTCCTCAATCTCCACCTGGCCCTGTGGAAACCCAGCACTCCTGTGACCTCCACTTGGGGGATGACCAGCATCCCACACCATGTCGTTATGTTGCTAGCAAGAAGCCTGTCCTCTTAGACTTCAAGTAGTATTTAGAAGTATCTGCCCAGAATGGCACAGCTAAAGCTGTGCTTTAGGTTTGTAGGCTGGCACCACCACCATCTCCATCAGCCCTATCTCCACCATCTCCATCACCACCACCATCCCCATCATCACCGCCATCATCACCATCTCCACCACCACCATCATCACCATCTCCACCACTACCATCATCATCATCATTACCACCACTGTTCCAGCCACCACGCTAAATACCAGTGTCCCCACCACCTTATCTGTTCCCTTTTTCTGTTATACACTTGAATTCCCTGGGCTGAGGCAGCTCCACAGTGTTAGGCTGTGTTTGGGCTGCCATCCTCTCCCGTCCCGCTCAGGGCTGAGAAGAGTGGAGGGCACCTGTGTTCCCCGGGACCTGCTTGTTCTCAAGGGACACTGGAGGAGCAGGACTCACCATCTGGTTTTTCAGGGCCCCCTCGAAGTGCAGGCCCCGCTGACAGGAGCCTCGACCATCGATCACCACCACAGCATAGCCCAACGATGCCAGTGTGTTTAGCCGCAGGTACTTGATGCCCTTGAAGGAGTTGTTCACCAACTGCACCTGTGGGCAAGGCAGGTGGTGAGAGAGAGCTGCAGGGGTGCTGGGGCAGATGGTGAGAGCTGCAGGGGTGCTGGGGGCACGGCCTGGGCCAGGCCACACCCACCTGTGGGCCCCCATAGACGAAGAGCACAGTGGGGTGCTTCCTCCCAGGCTGCAGGGTGTGCGGCTTGTAGATCATACCATAGAGCTGCACATCCGCACGGGTGTGGAAGTGAAAGATCTCAGGGGGCACATAGTCCGGGGGGCAACCTGAGAAAACAAAAGTGCTGTGTGGAGTGGCTGGTGAGACCGTGCCCACTGCAAGACCTGGCCCGTGGACCTGCTTCTGCCCAAAAGATGATCTTGGGGGAGCAGTATGGGGGGCACCACAGGGGTTGAGCAATCTCTATGGCCAGAAACTTGCCCAACCCCCGCCCAGGGTTCCTCACCACCGGGCTCTGGCCACTGTGGGGAACTGGAGTCCAGTGGAAGCCAATGATGGCTTCAGAGCAATGTGCACCCCCAACCATGGCTGCCCTGAGGTTTCCCTGCTGTTTCTCAAGGACTGGCACACAGCCACACTGGTCACCTGCCCAGGAGGACCAAGATTTTCCTAAGACACAATTTCTTTAGGTAGCCCATGCTGGCTTGGAACAAAACTTATAATCCTCCTGCCTCCATGTCCTGAGGGCTGGGATGACCACACTTGGTGTGGTGGTTTGAAAAGGTTTGGCCCTCAACAAACAAACAGGTGTACAAATACTTGCCAGGTAGTGGCAGCATTAGGCAGTGAGGCCTTGTTGGAGAAACTGTGTCATTCTTGGGGTAGGTTTTGAGGTCCCCTATACTCAAGCTGTCCCTAGTATGGCTCACAGTATCCCTCTGCTGCCTGTGAATCAAGATCTAGAACTCTCAACTCCTCCAGCACTATGTCTCCCTGCACACCGCCATGCTTGTTCTCATCAAGATAATGGACCAGGCTGGAGACAGCACTGCCACTTAAGAGCACTGGCTGCTCTTCCAGAGGTCCTGAGTTCAATTCCCAGCAAACACATGGTGGCTCACAACCATCTGTAATGGGGTCTGATGCCCTCTTCTGGTGTGTCTGATCACAGCAACTGTGTACTCACATACATAAAATAAATACATCTTTAAAAAATGAAGAATTGAAGCTCTGAACTTGTTGAGGTGGTCATGGTGCCTTTTCACAGCAATAAATCCCTAAGACATAACTTGGTACTAGGGACTGGGGTGTTGCTGTGACCATGCTTTTGTTTGGAGGGGTGAGGGTTTAGGGACTTTGGATGCAGGGTGATATTAGAACACAGAAGATAGTGGTGCTGAGAGCGCTCTGAGCGGTGGGGCCTGGTCAGGAGGATTCAGAGAAGAATGTCAGCGTGTGGCCAGATGCTCTTCTTCATGACACTTTGGTTAAGCGTGTGGCTGATTTTTGTCCTTGTCTGAATAGTCTGCCTTGAAGTTAAAGTGAAGAGCTTTAGATTAATTGTATGGCAGAGGAAATCTCAAGAGACCTAGTATAGACTCTGTTGTGTGATTACTAGTGTTCACTCTCATTAAGAGTGTTTTCATGAGAAGGAAAGCTGAGCAAGGAGAAATACAAAAGGAGAAAGGGGGCACCAAAAAATTGGAATTGAGCTAAATCTTTGGCCGGAGAAGAAAAAACAAATTAAAAAGATTAATCTCAGGCCAAGATCCCACCCAGCAAAGCCTCCACCTTGTGAGAAGGACTTAAAGGACAGGGTCCAGAAATGGCACACAGCCACACTGGTCACCTGCCCAGGAGGGTCCAGGTGTGGTGGTGGTTGTGGTGGTGGTGGTGGTGGTGGTGGTGGTGGTGGCGGCGGCGGCGGCAGCGGCGCAGGCCTTTAATCCCAGCACTCTGGAGACAAGAGGCATGCAGATTTCTGAGTTGAAAGTCAGCCTGGTCTATAGCAAGTTGCAGGACAGCCAAGCTTAGGCAGTGAAGGTAACCACTGAAAACAAGAAGCTGGTGAAGATGTAATTGAATAAGGATGCCATGTTCCAGCCCCAGCAAACAGTAAACTTGGCAACTTGGGCCATCTGGTTCTGTGTTCAGTCAAGGATAGAGAAAGAAGCTACGCAGTCTCCCCCTGCAGCTAAGGAAAGCTGCCGAAGCCAAGGGTGCGGCAGGGGTGTCCTTGTTTAGAGGCCCAGAGAGGCCACTGTATGACACTGTGAAGGAAAAGCCTGGAATGCTCTGGAGGCCCCAAGAGGTTAGAGACACCAGAGCCATGGGATATGTGCTGAAGAAACCTGCTAACAGAGTATGGAGCCAGCCTAAGAGAAAGAAGAGAGTGTGCTGCAGTCAGCAAAGCTGGAGAGAGCATAGCCTTTGACATCAGACGTGGTGATGCCGTGTGTGGAGTTCTCAGTTTTTTCAGTCTTGCTTTGGTCCAGCATTTCCTCACTATTCTCCCATCCCTGTACACTTTGGATGGAGATGTAGATCCTGTGCCACGGTATGTTAGAAGGAAGGGTCCTGCCTTTTTATTTTGATTTTATAGGTGATTATAGTTAAGAGATTGCATGAACCTCAGAAGAGACTTTGAACTTTGGACTTTCTAACATTGTTGAGACTGTGACAGATCTGGGGACCTTTGAAGCTGGACTAAATGCATTTTGCATAATGTCATGGCTATAAGCGTGTGGGGGCCAGGGAGTGGAATGTGGTAGTCTGAGTAGGTTATGACCCCGTAGACTCATGGATTTGGATGCTTGACCTACAGGTGTGGCACTATTAGGAGATGTGTCCCTGTTAGAGGAAGTGTGTGTGTGTCACTGTGAGGTTTCTATGCTTCAGCTATGCCCAGTGTGGCTCACAGTCTCCTGTTGCCTGTGGAGGTAGCACTCTCAGCTTCTCTAGCACCAAGCCTGCCTGGACGCTGCCATGTTTCCCACCATGATGACAATGGCCTGAACCTCACAACTGTAAGACTTGCCTTGGTCATAGCATCTCCTCACAGCAATGGAACACTGAGTAAGATACATGGGTTCGAGGAATGGAGGTGGGGCTTCTGATACACCCGAATTCTACCACTGAGCCCCTGCCATTCTTCTAGGTCTTTCCAAGGCATGCTCAGGACAGTGAGTTAACAAGTACTCAAAGTCCTGTGTACTGAAACTGAAACTCAAAGCTCTGCAGACAGAGTTGCAGTGGACCTCAGGCTCCAGTGATTTCTCAGAACACGTTTTCTTTTTCTGAGGCCCCTCTGGTAACTGACCCTGTGCTCCCTGTCAAAATTACAACTTCCACAGGGCAGTGGTGGCACACGCCTTTAATCCTAGTCCTCCAGAGGCCGAGGCAGGTAGATCTCTGAGGTGGAGGCCAGCCTGGTCTACAGAGTTCCAGGAAAGCTAGGGCTACACAAAGAAACCCTGTCTCAAAAAACAAACAAACAAACAAACAAACAATCACAAAAAACTCCTACAACTTCAAAACATCTGGTCTCAGAGGCACCGTCACAGAAATTACCCCAGGGTGGCAAGCACACTGAGCCAAGAGAGGCGCAGGAACCCCTCTACCTGAGATGACTATTCCCCATGTGTGCACCTGTCTCTGGGAGCCCGTTGTCTACCTTGCCCTTCCCCCTGGCTGGTGGGCCAGCTCCCTGAGACCACACTACTCACTGGCCGCCTCCATCATGCTGGCCCAGAAGCGCGGTTGCTTGTGCAGCGGGTCATCATCGGGGCCGCTCAGCTTGTACACATGCACGCAGGGCGGCGTGCTCACACTGCTGTAGTGACTCACGAACATGTCGAAGTTCTGCTGGCCGCAGGGTGGCACTCAGTGTACAGGAGCAGGCTTCTGCCTTCCCAAGAGACACCATACAGCCCCACCCACCTGTGGGTCATTGCCACACCGTGTGCAGATCATGAACCTGCCTAGTGAGGCCCATCCCCAGGCTAGAGACCCAGGCCTCACTGTCAATGCACAGGCATCAGCCTGATTTCTAGAGAGTGTTAAGAGGCTAAGGGCTGTGCACTGGATCCAGGGAGCAGCCTCCTCACACTCTGGTTCTCCTGGACCCTGGGAGGCTGGGGCGGGCATGCACACCTGACTCATGGAGCAGCTATGGGAGAAGCCGAGTGTGGTGAGTCGCACGATCTCGCCTGCCGACTCGTAGCTGACCACATAGAGGTGGTGTTCCAGGGGCGTGTCCTTTGTACCTTGAAAGTACACCAGCTTCGCCTGCTCGTTGACCCAGATCTGTAGGCGTTGGGGACCTCTGTGACCAGTGTGCCTCAGTCATACTTCCTCCCTTCCAACTCCAGGCCAGTGCCAGCACATCACATCAGACTGAGAGTGCAGCATGAGGGGCAGGCCACTGTAGGTCCCATGGACGCACCCAGGGGAGAGAAAGCATGCCCAGCATGCACAAAGCCCTGGGTTCCATCCCCAACACCACATATGCTAGACATGCTGGAGCATGCCTAAACCTAGCACTTGGGAGGACCAGGGTTCAAGACCACCCTCAGCTACATAGTGAGGTCAAAGCCAGCTTGGGCTCCATGAAACTCTTGCTGAAACAATAGAAATAAAAAATAAAAAGATATCTAACTAACAGTTTTATTCTGAGGCTGAGTCTGGCTGTGTAGCCGAGGCTAGCCTAAATATGAAGGTTTTTCCCTCCTCAGCCCCTAGAACTGGAATGATAGGCCCATCAACATTACTCTTTTCAGAATTTGAAAATGGTTTAGTCCCATTTTCCCCTTAGTTCTAGAGCAAAAGGTTCAAAGCCACATGAGGAAGCCCTATCTATGGCAATACAGGTGCGGATGTGGCCACACCAGTATGGGCGATCAGAGCATTTCCCAGTGCGCGTAGCTGGGGTAGGGCTCAGGGGGAAAGTGCCTGGCACTCATGAGGACCCTGGTTCCACACCCAGCAATGCAAAATTAAAAAATGAAAAAAATTCAGAAATACACAAAGCAGATTTAAAAGTCTTTAACTTGAGCCGGGCAGTGGTAGCGCATGCCTTTAATCCCAGCACTCGGGAGGCAGAGGCAGGCGGATTTCTGAGTTCGAGGCCAGCCTGGTCTACAGAGTGAGTTCCAGGACAGCCAGGGCTACACAGAGAAACCCTGTCTCGAAAAAACAAAACAAAACAAAACAGCAGAAGAGCTGAGCACATACCCACCCTCTACGTTACTAGAATCTACTTTCCTATTGATAACCCCGAATTAGGTAGGGAGGATGGGGTACCTTGGAGCCATGCCTCGACAAGACCTCCCACTCGCCACTGGTCAGGGCGACCTCCTCCTTGATGGGGCACTTAAACTCATCTGTGAGAAAGGAGAGCAGAGGTGAGGGATGCAGGAGGGACAGGCTCAGTTGACTGAGGCCAAAGGAAGCCTGCTCATGGCTGGGTGATCAGTTTGGCCTAAGAGGCCACCAAGTGGGGACCTGTCTGGGAGGTTCAGGGGCCAGTGGGGCCTGTCCCTCCTAGTGGGGGCAACCCAGCACTCCCAGAGAACAGCCAGAAAGTGGCCTTTCTAACGTACAGCAGGTGTGGCATGTGACAACTGGCCACTTCTCACTCGATCATCCTGGGCCACCAGAACCAGGCTTGTTCCAGGAGATTAGGTAGGAGTGAGCACACCACACTCCCAACACTCAGGAGAAAGAGGCAGAAGGATCTCTGAGTTCTGGACCAGTGGCTACATAGTGAGACCCTGTCTCAAGAGCAAACCTAACAACCACAAATAGAACCAGGTTCTGTTTCCTGGGGGCCTGCTAGGTTAACAGGTCTGGGCCTGCTTCTGAGACCCAGCTAGACAGAAACCAAGCATGTACACATCAGATGTGGCCTGGGGTGACAAGAGGATGTCCTGTGATGTTCTTGTGGTTTAAGGCCACCAGGAGATCTACCACTGCCCAGGCCCTGCACCCACAGGTTCCACCCACACATTAAGCTGCTGCTGTGCTTGTCAAGAGCACAGGGTCTCAGTGGCCCACTTGTCGGCTGTCATCACAGCCACAGACCTCCTAGACACACCCCATCTTCTTGTGTCCTCCCAAAGCTGCCCTCTTCCCCATCCTCACCAGCTACCTGTCTTCACTTTTAATTTACTTCAGGTGTGCATCAGTGCACGCAGTGCCTGCAGAGGCCAGAAGAGGACATAGGATCCCCAGGAACTAGAAGTACAGACAGCTGTGTTCCACCCAGTGACTGCTGGGAACTGAACCCTGGTCCTCTGCAAGAGCAGCCAGTGTGCTAACAGCTGAGTCATATCTCCACCCCTGGCCCTTGCCTCCCCTTCTCTCGATTTTAGAGAGGGTTTCATGTAGCCCAGGCTGGCCTCAAGCTCACTAAGTAGCTAAGGATGACCTAGAAGTCTGGACTCTGGCATGTTGTAATGACAGACAGGCCAGCTCACATGGTTTCTGTGGCACTGTGGATGAAGCCCAGGCCTTCCTGTGTGTCAGGAGGACACTGTACCAACTCAGCCCCAGCCTAGGCTAGCCCTTCTGAATCTCCCTTCCTTTTCCTCAGTTTTCCCTTGCTCACTCAGCTGCCGTCACATCATGCCAGGAGGCACATGATGGAGTCTGAGCAAACCTGCAGGGGTAGGCACCCTGGCATCTGGGTCTCAGGCTGAGCAACCATGAGTTGAAGGCAAGTGTCTAGGAAAAGCTCCCTGAGTTCAGTGGTGGCGCCCAGCAGGGTACACAGAGTCACTGCCAGGAGAGACATGGAGACAGAGCCCTGGCCAGCACCTGAGTCACTCAGTGCCAAGTAGCGAGGACATGAGGCACACCAGGTCCTCAGAGATGGCATGCCAGTCACTCTGTGCCCTGAGCCCACGGCTGCCACAGCCTGCTGTGGCACCATGTGGCATTTCTTAACTGTGGTGCTTACTGAAGATGACCTGCCTTCAAGGAAGGCTTGAACATTCTCTGGGGACGTGTAGCTTTCACAACTTGGGGAGCCGCAGCATGCAGCAGGTAAAGCAGGAATGCTGCTCCCTGGATGTAGCCTTTGGAGGCTGGGTCTGTGCAAAGGCCCTGTGGTACAGGACACAGCTCCATTGCACAGGCTGAGACCTAGAACAGCTGAGCAGTGCCCCCGCCCGGGGGTCAGCTGCCATTACGCCAGGAGCCAGGAATTGTCTCCTAGAAGCACCGTCTACCACGTCAAGCCACGGACTCCAAAACGCACTTCGATCCCCTCTTCGATGAGCCCTACATTCTCTGTGCCCCCAACTGGATCCCAAGTTGTCCTTAGTACCACACACCTATCCCACTGGGACAGCTCTGGCTTTGACTGTAGCCTGATCTGATGCTCCTTGCCCTGATCCCCACAGAAACCCAAATAGTCACTTCACACTGATGGAGAACAAACTGCTTCCTGCTTCCTTCCTGGTCACAGCCCAGGCCCGAGTCCTGTTTGCAGCCCATGCAGACACCGTGTCCCCATTCTCTTTGCCACTTGACTTTCTCTATGTCCCCCATGGCCAGAGACGCCATCTTTCATTGCCCTTGCAATATTGAGCCTCTAGTCTCAGCTGCAGGAGACCGGGGTCACAGGTGAGCAGTACCGCATGCCATGTTCCTTCTCAGACAGCCTCACCTTGGCTCCTGGAGCCGACTACTTTGGCCAAGGCCCAGAGTATCTGAAGCTCTGCAGCCACATGGCTGAGGCTGGGACACGTCAGAGCCAACGGGCAAACAGAAGTGAGCTGCACTCCAAGAAAAGAACGAGATGAAACTAAGTGCAGGTGACACACAGTGGCACGCAGGGGCCAACCTCTACTGCCCTGGTGGCAGCTCTTAGGTCTCAAACCTGGGTGTGTGTGGGAGGGCTGACTGAGGTACCCATTACCATATTAAAGTAGATGCTGGAAAGAGCGCCCACCATCCCAGCTCACTACTTGTTTCAGGCCCCCTGGCCAGCATGCCCTGCCTCTTCAGTTGCCCCCCCCCCCATTCCTCTGGCCTCAATATAACTTAGCCATTTTGGCTATGCCAGTCTCTTGGCCCAGGCTATCCCTCTTGCTCTGTGTCTCCTCTCTTGTGCGCCCTCCCTCTGTCCTCACACGACCTAGCTCAGTCTGGTCATGTTTATCCCGGACTCTCTTAGATGTACCTGCCTCTGGCTCTGCTGTCCCCTCTATCTACAACCAAGTTTTTCCTCCTCATCCCTAAAAACAGTCATGTCTGTCTGTCTTTCCTTCTCTCTCTCTCTCTCTCTCTCTCTCTCTCTCTCTCTTTCTTTCTTTCTTTCTTTTCATTCCATAGCAAGGGCCCGGCTGCATAGGCATTTAGGAAACCCCACCTAGCCAATCAACAAACGTGTAGCTTACGGTTACCAATGGCACAAGGGCAGGGTGGGTCAGGGTACAGCTACTCCTTCCTCCCCACCACAGCCTCATATGTGACGGAGGCTCTGCTCACCTTCTGTAGGGGTGAGGGGTTCCGTCCAGTCATAGTTGTTGGTCTTAAGGTCCACAGTGACCCTGTACAGGTGGCAAAAGCCAGTCTTGCACTCGTTGGCACGGAGGAAACAAAAGTCCTGCTGGCCCTCGGCCTGAGGGAATGGGTGGAAGATGTCATGGACCTGTGGGGACAGATGATAGAGTCAGAGAACTCTACAGCTGACCAAGGCCCTGAGCCCACCCCAGTGTGACACTGGGGACCTGGATGTGGGGACAGTGGGGCATCCTGGTACTCCCGCTTACGTTAATCCAGACATTGGTGACTTCTTCATAAATGACAAAGGGCTGCACATTCTTGGGGATGGCTCTGGCAGCCGCTTGCCGCTGGGCCTCACTCTCAAGGGTCGGGATAAAGAGGGCAGGGGGGAGGAGGACAAGCTGGAGCCGTTGCTGGGGACGGTCCAAGAACATGGCCCAGGCACTAGAAGAACAAGAGAGAAGGCAGTAGGAGGCCGCAGATGCTGGCTGGGGACACAGGAGCCAGCCTTGCTGGAGTCAGCCCAAGCCCAACCAGGGTATGGAGGAGGCCTAACTATTGCATGATCTCAGGGAAAGATTAAATAAAGCTCTAGTGACAACAATCCACATGACTTAGGCCTGGGACAGTATTCTCAAATGGGACAGAGAGTTTTGGTTTTTTTTTGGTTTTTGTTTTTTAAAGGTAGGATCTTTTATGGCTGAGGATGTCTTTGAACTCTTGACCTTCCTTGCCTCCATTTCAGTGTTGAAATGACAGGTGTGTGCCATCACGTCCAACAATAACAAAATGGACTCCTATTCTATTCTATTCTATTCTATTCTATTCTATTCTATTCTATTCTATTCTATTCTATTCTATTCTATTCTATTCTGGTGCTCGGCATGATCACGAGGTCTCATGTAAAGCTACACCATGGCTCTCCACCCAAACCTTTTAAAGTTTTTGTTTTGAAATAGTTTTGACATGGCCGTGTATCTGACATCCCAGGAGTAGGAAGGTAGAGGCAAAAGGATTAGGAGTTCAGGGATAACCTTGGCTACAAAGCAAGTTCTAGGTCAGCCTGGGCTACACAGCAAAAAGAAAGATGAGGAGGAAGTGGTGAGGAAGGCTGTTTGTCTCTGCATTCTGTCCCAACTGTGAAGAACTCGGACCCCAAGAGCTCAGAGGTGTTCCATCATCCTGTCTGTGGCCTAGTATTTACTTCTACCCTGGGCTACCTGGGATTGCCCCACCCTCGGGACTTTGGTCAGACTGACCTGACACCTGAGTCTCCCTCTTTGTCTCCTCCCAGCTAGGAGGCTGGGAGGGGACCCTGAGGGAAAAAAGTAATGGCTGGAGGGCACTGAGCTCCACCCTGGTGGGGCCCCAAGTAGCCTCCAGGTATTTGCCATTCCCAAGATACTTACTATCTGCCATCCCGTGTCCAGCCAGCCCGGGCAATGTACTCCACTCTGGGAAAAAGGGAGCTGAAAGGCTGTACCAGTTCCTTCTCGCAGCTTGACACGATCTAGAGAAATAGGAGCACATGCACATCACCACAGCCTCACTGATCTCCAGCCTACTGATGGTTAATGCACAGCACCCACATGGTGTCTAACAGGTTGGGAATGACAGTTTCAGGAGCTCTGACGCCCTCTTCTGGCCCTCATGAGCACTGTGTTACATGGTGCATGCATATGTGGACAATCATACACTAAAGTAAATAGCCAGGTGTGGTGTTTCATGCCTTTAATCCTAGCACTGGGGAGGCAGAGGCAGGACCATCTCTGTGAGTTTGAGGTCAGTCTGGTCTATATAGTGAGTTTCAGGACTCAAAGAAAGACCTTGTCTCAAAAAAAAAAAAAAATCAAAATAAATAAATCATAAAGGAAGGAAGGCAGGCAGGCAGGTAGGCAGGCAGCTGTCTGAGGTATAAGAGGTAAGGTGGAAGTCACGCTGGATCAGGAATCCTAATCTAACATGTTATATCACACAAGGGAGAGATGCAATGAGACAGACACACACACAGACAGACAGACAGTCTCTCTCTCTCTCTCTCTCTCTCTCTCTCTCTCTCTCTCTCTCCACTAGAACCTCAGGACAGGTGGTCATCTGAGCTGTTGGGACAGACCCTGTCCAGCCCTGGGAGGGAGCCAGGCCTATCAACACCCATCTGTATGGCTTTGACAGGATCTCTGCTCTCAAAGCCACTGACCTGTGTCTTTCTGCTGTGGTGACAGCTCCTTGGGGGTGGGGTGGGGTGGGGACGACACCACAGCAGCACACTGCACTCCCTGGCACATACGAATGCGAATGGTCCTAGAAGCACCTGTCTCTGCCCTGAGTCACCCCTGGAGAATTGAGGGTCCTGGGCAAGCTGAGCAAGCAGGTGATGGAGAGAAAGGGCAGCGAGGTCACCAGTCCACTGCAGCTCAGCTGCTGCAGCCCACACCCACCCAGCTCAGGAGCCCGTGTGTCACAGAGGCCTGGGTGTGGCTGACACAGAGCAGTAACTGAGCCCTTACTGCATTTACAGCCCCAAGTTCAGTTCCCAGCACCCACAGGGTAGCTTGTGTCTTCCTGTAACTTCAGTCCAAGGCCTCCGATACCCTCTTCTGGCCTCTATGGGCATTGCACTCATATACATTTTTTTAAAAAAGGAAAAAAAAAAAAAAGCCGGATAGTGATGGCACACGCCTTTAATCCCAGCACTTGGGAGGCAGAAGCAGGCTGATTTCTGAGTTTGAGGCCAGCCTGGTGAATTCTAGGACAGCCAGGGCTACACAGAGAAACTCTGTCTCAAAAAACCAAAAAACAAAAACAAAAACAAAACAAACAAACAAACAAACAAACAAAAAAACCCAAAGATATGGAGTCAATCTGATACCATTCTGGATGTTATCAAAGTTTTTTGCAAAAACTTGCTAGGGGGCAGTGGAACAGCTCCACAGGAAAGAACCCTGTCACCAAGCATAATGATCTGAGTCCCGAGGTCTAGTCTGACTGCTAGACCTCACAGGGTGGAGGGAGAAAGCTAACCCCCACAAGCGGTTCTCTGACCTTCACACACACAGTCTATTAACCTAAGAACTAAATCCCAGGGGCTGGAGGATGGCTCAGCAGTTAAGACCACTGACTCCTCTTCCACAGGTCCTGAGTTCAATTCCCAGCAACGACATGGTGGCTCACAACCACCTGTGATGAGATCTGATGCCCTTTTCTGGTGTGTCTGAAGACAGCTACAGTGTACTCATATAAATAAATCTTGAAAAAACAAAAATACTTAAAAAAAAAAAAAAAAAAAAACTAAATCCCTAGGGACCACACTCCTGAAGCTGTACAAAATGCCTGCCTGATAGCCTCAAAAGCAAGCACCACATCTCCTCGGGCCCAGGAGCTGCCTCAGTGACTTTCAGTGTCACATACCCTTGGTGACCTGCGGGATTTGGACTGGGGGAAGGTGCATCAGAGCAGCGGATGGGCCTACAGAGGCAGGTGGACGCACTCACTAGAGACTTCTTATCGGGGCCATGCTGGCCTTGCTGCTGCGCACACACTCTGAGTTGCAAGGCCTTACTCAGTGCCTCTAAGTGAGCAATGCAAAGGAGGAGGAGACAGAGAAGGATCCAGAACAATGCCTGGCCCAACATGAGGCAACCTGGAGACTGGCACACAGGCACTGTGCCCCAGTGTTCTGGGCTTGTGGCCACCATGGGAGATGAGTGAGGCCAATTGGCTGCACCATGCACATGACACAGAGAGTAGGCTAGCTGCACACAGCCTCACTCATTCCTTGTGCAAACTTCCCCACAAGCTGGGCTCTTACTTTGCCCTGATGGTCGGTCTGGATCTCAGCCAGCTTCAGGGCAATCTTGGGATTCTTGCTGCCTGTGGAGGGGAGGGGAGAAGGCCAGGTGAGTGCCAGGCTGTCAGAGGCTGCCCTGGCCAGGGACTGTGTGACTGCACCTGTAAGAGGTGGCACGGCTCCTCTTGGGCATGACACAGTCTTCAGGGCAGGGATAATCTGACCAAGGGCCTGGACCACACCCATAACATGGGGTATAAGATATGTTACTTTGTCACCTGGGAGCACAGGCCAGGTTATGACAAGAGCTGGAACAGGAACAATATAACACATAAGAAACACAGCCTTGTCCCTGACTTTGTGTAACCAAGGAGGTAGGGACAGGAACAGGACATATCACCACATGTAGCCAGGCCCAGCCCTTGAAAGGGCCACAGGCTAGGACAGTCCACACTTCTAAGAGGTGGGATATAGCTGGAACTGTTTCCTTAGAGAGCTGGAAACAAATCTTGGGAGTTACCTGGAAGATGGCTCAAGCCCCAGCACAGGGTACCATGGGACATCAGACTGAGTCTTACTTTCCACATTTGTTAATCATAGGCTAAATGTGGATCGTTCCCACAGATGTCCTGTACAGAGCCTAAGTCCTACAGAATGTCTCGGAAGGCTCACTATGTGTCTGCAATGGCAGTCTGGTGTTTTTATTTGTTTTTTAGAGATAGGGTCTCAGGTAGTCCAGGCAGATCTGGAACTTTCTACAAAGCAGAGGCTGACCTTGAACTCCCTATCCTCCTGACACTCCTCCTGCTGCAATGACAGGCGTGCCCCCACCACACCCAGTCTGTGGTGCTGAGGATGGACCCTAGGGCTCTGTGCACACCAAGCCTTAGTCCAAGGCCATTGACTCCATAGGTTTGCAGGCAGCAGGGCTGCCAGGGGCTACTGCTGGCTCAAGGCTTCTAAGGCCTCGAGACGTCAAAGAAACAGGGCTTATCTAGGAGGGCCAGTTTCTTCCAATCCCTCTACTTGCATTTTTGTTTTGACAGGTGTATACTATGCAGCCTAGGCTAGCCTGAATTCATGAGCCTCCTGCCTCAGCCTCCCGAGTACTGAGATGGCAGAATCTCCCATTAACTCAGCCTGCTTGTCTGTGGCTGTCCTGGCGTGTGCAGAGATGTGCCATTTGGTGGTTGGAAGACTCACCTTTCTGGACCTACCTAGAGGATCTGGGGCCACTGAGTTCTAGGAGCATGAGACCCAATAAAGCCAAGTGGAAGGGCCCTCCAGGAGCAGAACGGCACTAGCTGTAAAGTAGAGACCTCAGAGCAGCAGGTAGTGTCACCATGGATGCCCACCTGTCCTGGGGTAGCGGTAGGAATCCGTCTTCCTCTCCTCCAGGGCAGGGGAGGGCACATGAATGACCTCCACCTCAGATTCGTCCACTTCCTCATACAGGATGCGCAGTGTCTTGAGGCCTTCAGAGCCTAGTGGAGCACAAGGAAAAGAGTCAGGCTGCTTACTAACAACACACAGGAGCTCTGAGCCTCAGAGGGGTCAGACTGTTCCCTGAAACCATCCGCTTAAGCTCTAGCTGAGGTCCTGCTCCTGTGCAGTGCCTGTGAGGGAGAAACTGCACAATAAGGTCGGGGGAGACCCTGGGCCAGTATGACAGGAGTATTCATAGGACCAGGACACAATACCATGGGACATTAGAGGACATGGGGAGTGCGCTGTAGCCTTAGGAAAAGCCACATCTGTCATACTGCATCTCAGAACCAGAGGCCAGTGTGGGCTGATGCGCCTCTGCTGTCTATGCCACTCAGTCAGGGAGATTTTGTCGTGATAACCTGAACACACACACTCACATGCTCTGCAAGTACAAACACTGTAGTAAGGGGCTGGGGGCATGGAACAGCCCAGTGAAGGGCTGCTCAGAAATGGAGCCTGACCTAGAATGCCCTAGTGTAGCTCAGAGGTGGAGCCCCTGCCTAGAATCCTCCAGTGAAGGGCTGGGGGCGTGGTCAGGGGGTGAAGCCTTGCCTAGAACCCCAGTGAGTGGCTGAGGATGTGGTCAGGGGTAGAGTCTCCACCTAGATCCTCCCATTGAGTACCTGGGAGCATGGTCATGGGTGGAGCCCTTGCCTTAGACTTTTCCAGTGAAGGGCTGAGGATGTGGCTCTGCTGCCTATGGCTTACCCAGTGTTCTCTTTTCTCCAGTAATTTAATGGTTTATATGAATGGCAGGCCCAGGAGAGGCAAGGTCTTTGTCTTCTTCCTGTCCTGGGGAAACCCTGACATGGGTATTTAATGGATCCCTAAGTGTTGGTCCTGGGACTAATGGGGAGGTGTTGAGTCCTTAGACTGCAGTACAGTACTGAGAAGTGGGCTCCCTACCTTCCCTACCTTCCCAAGAGGCCGTGGGACACCACCAGCACCCAGTGAAGCGGTCAAACTCCTCTTGAATGACAAAGGTGGCCACACCTGCTGACTTGGGATTGTCCAGGACACTGGCTGAACCTGAGAAAAGGGCACACCGTGAGTGACACACAGGAGTCAGGAACTTATGAGCTAAACGCCATACATGGCTACAACAGCTATCTTCAAAACATGATGACATGACCAGGCAGACTGCCACCCCATCTCTCTGTTCATGCCCAGGCCTCACCCTGGTGACAGAAGGTGAGGCGCCGTTCCTCTCCAGTCTCGATGTTTGCCACCCACAGGTCACTGTTGTTGATGAAGGAAAAAAAGGCAGGGTCTGCGGGGCAGATCTTGGGGTCCATGCGTGGCCCAGAACACTGGGTCTTGATCTCCAATGGCTTCATCGGGGAAACCTGGGGACAGGAAGGTTGGGACAGTCAGGGCGCTGGCCTCATGTCCCTACCACAGGACACAGGTCGTGACTCACCATGAAGCCATTCTTGCCACCATCCCTGCAGTGGAACAGGCTGTTGCTGGCCTGGAACAGGAAGAGGCCACTTTCACTGTGGAAGTCATAAGATGTGATACCGAAGACGCCCAGGCGCTTGCGCTCCCGCAGCAGCTCCTCCTCTCGTGAGTAGACACCATGGTGGGGTGTGGCCTGGGGACACAGGGGACTCACTCAGATTCCCCATTGTGACATAGAGCATCTTATGATGTCCAGGAACTTGTGATGTCCCCACATCCCCATCCTGAGAACCTGCGGGGACATCCCAAACCCCATTCACGCCCTTTCAAACCCACAGCTGTATAGGTTCCATGCCCAAGGTTCTGCTAATCACCTACCCTGGATCCCCACTAGGGGTGGGGTGGGGGGAATCCCAGTGAGCAAGCTATCTGGACAGAATCATAAGGACATGGGAGGAGTCTGTTTGTTTGAGACAAGGTCTTGTGTGGCCCAGGCTAGCCTGGGATTCGCTACTTAGTGGAGGATAATTCTGACCTCACAGTCACCCTGTCTCCATCTCAAGTGCTGGGCTGGCAGGCATGCACAACACTGCCTGGCATGATGGGATGGAATCTCAGGCTTTCTGTGTGCCAACAGAGTGCTCCATGCAATAAGTCTCAGGACTGAGCTTGGGTCCAGCTCAGAGCTAGGGTGTGGAGGCAAAATGTGAAAGCCTGAGGTCCAGTCCCAGCACCATGCTGTGCAGAAGGCTACCCAGGAGCGATCGAAATGGGCCTGAGTGGGCAAGATGGGCAGGACTTGGGAATGCCTCTGTGATGTGTTATTTTTTCCCTCTGAGAGACCCCAAGGCCTTAGCACATGCTGGGTGAGGCTTGACACTAAGCTGCAGTCTTGTGCAATGTTTACAGCCAGAGTACTGCCACACCAGGGAGCACTGCCACACCAGGGAGCACTGCCACACCAGGGAGCACTGCCACACCAGGGAGCACTGCCACACCAGGGAGCACTGCCACACCAGGG